TTTTCCAGTGAGGCCCCTATCAATGCCTTATCGCATTGTATTTGTAATCTGTAGCATCATTGACAGACACTGGTGCACAGATACAGCAACGAAGCTTAGCCGCCACCCACCCGCCCCGAACTGTGGCGGCGCATGAATAAGTTTTAGTTTTAGTTGCTCGGCTTCTCTCAAGTGAAGCCATTCATTGGCATTGCATTGCATTGATCACGACCGGCTTGCATGATCTGAGATGCAAATTCCGTGGACTTTTACTGAATCAAATTCACAAATAAAATGAACAGTAGATTTTCTCACCTCATCGTCGTGTAAGATCCGAATAATCCGAAAGAATAATCACAAGTGGACAGGAGCAAAAACGGGTTATCTTCAATGTCCACCAACGCCCAGAATTTCGGTGTTTCCGTTTCACTTGACCCAAACGGCCATTTACGACTTACACGTTTTTCACGTATGCGCACGTTCTATGTGTGTTCGTCGCATTCGAATGTGCTTTGCGTGTATTATTTGTGCGCGTCGCGACCAACGATCTTTTTTCGGGTCATATGCAAATAAGGGTGGTTCCCGAATTCGCATCTATATCCATATCCGTGCGTAATCGATAAGACTGATTGCACTATGGTAACAGGGAACACGGATGCTGCCTACGCGGTCTTCCGGGTAAAGACTACACACCAGTGTCGTCACGGTGCGATGATCCACGAAACTTGTCATTGAGTAATGCAGAACAGTGACTAAAGTTTAGATTAACTTATCACGAGGAAAACTACAATCGGTTTGGAGGGCACAATATGTCATCCATTGGTCCATTAATACCAGAGGGGTGGGGTGCTGGTGGTGGGGTGCTGGTGGTAGGCGCTATCAGAGGAGGAGAAGAGGAGGTGGGGTCACGGAAGGGGCACTCTGTAAATTAAATGAACAAGACCGCCACAAGCCATCAGTGACAAATGACAGTTTTTGTTACAAGCTACTGAAATCCTTGCTTCTGATTCAGCAGATTTGTCACTGATTTTTGTCATTTGTCAAAGTTAGTTCAGCTCAGTTCAACCGATTGGTTGAATGATATTTGGTTCCTATTATTATAGAACTTGTGAAAATATTCGCTCAGCCCCCTCAATTTTTTGATATTGCTATAATATTTCGCCACTGAAAATTTGTAATGCATTCGGTGAACAAACTTGTTAGATGCCTTTTATATCCGTCTTTCCATTGACACAATACTATTGGCAAGATTATAGGTACAACTCTGATCTACTAATAATTACTCCACGATTCTTCGAAATGAGAATAACGCGGGAGATCAGATTAATATATCTCGACATAGTAACGTTGTAAAAATGCAACTTGTAAGCCGCGCCAATACTGCGTTCTGTTTATTAATACAACTCACGAATTACATATTGATTTAATGACGACTCTACCTCAAGTACTCGTTTGCTTTCCAAAAGGTAGACCTTGGTCTGTCATTAAACAGATGTCAATATTGATACTGATAAGAGCAGACAGAAGTTTGCCAATTTAAACGAAAACATTGCAGATGAATTAAGGGCTGGATCGCCAACATAACAGATAACATGATTTCTATTTATTTTATCACCACGGTCCCGCCTTACAAACATTTGCGATTAATCGTAACTTATTTACGATTGATATCAATCGCAACTATGTGCATGAGAGAGAGGAGACTCGTAATGACGGGGCCCAGAATTTGAATTGAAAAGACACATTTTGATGTCATTTAAACTTTGTGACGAACGGGAAGCGCACCAAATTTCAAAAATACATTGGAATTGCTGGCTAAATAGGGGGGGGGGGGGGAGGATTATTATTTTAATACCGGTATCTATTATTTTTCAATTAATTGTAAATACATGTAAGTGGATTGGATTCTCTTCCTCTCTCTCTCTCTCTCTCTCTCTCTCTCTCTCTCTATTTCCTTTTCCATATTTCCCATCGGGGCTATAGCTTTATACCAGCCCCAGCTTTTAAAAAAGAGGGGCTTTTGAGGGATGACCCCCCCCCCCCCAGCAAGACGCGCCGATAATTTTTTGTTTGCAGCCCCCCCCCCCCTCCCCACCCCCTTATGTCCCCATGTGTCTTTTAGAGGAATCCATTGACATAAATTTGATTTAGACCCCTTTTCTTTAGATCAACAACAAACATTTTTATATGACGGGCCAAATTAGAAAGAAATTAATGACAATTTTGTATGATGAATTGATTGAATCGAATTTATTCCATTTCATATCAATTGTTTCCGCAATAAGAACAAAGTTGACAAAGTAAGTTTTAAAAAATTACAGGTAAATGGAAATGCTTTTTTAAATACTTTTTGAAACATCTCGGGGGAGATTTGTTTGGGATTTGCAATTTAAAGTTTAATGACCCCTAAATATCCAATGTAAGGAACCACTTTATACGTGAAATTTAATTGCTTGGAGTTGACATTCTCCCCTAAATTATTGACTGATGTAAATATTTAAGATCAAGTGTTGTAAAATAACTATCTTATTAAATTAGATGGTAATGTTGTATTTAAGCAAAATTGGATATATATTGGAATCACTCGTAAAAATGTTAGATGAGCATGGTCAATTTTATTCTCAAAAATATGAAGTTCAATGACATTTTCTTGACTACTAATCATTAATCTCCGCACTTCCAAAAGAATGGAAAAATGGTATCCTACAGCACCAAGCTGAAACCAAAACACCCCAAGAGGAAGTGTTGCATATTAACTTAAAGAAGGTTTTCAAAGTATGCAAATATTATGTTCATCAAATTTCTGTTGCCAAGATCCTTAAAGTTCCGATTTCTGAAATAAAATGGGCTACAATTTTAACTGAACCTGTTCAAGACTGGAAGAAACTTCACACTATTCCTTTAAAATGTTGCCTTTCTATTATATAAGGGAATTTCCCGTTCTTAACGACCGTCAATACTACTGGGCCAGAAGGGATTAGACCACACAGCGAGGTCACTGACAGGTGGCTATCTCATTAACTCAGCTCTCAACTAACATAAGAAAAAGAGGATCATGGGGGACCAACAGGCACCGATTGGGGACATGTTCTATATAGAGGGAGCAAGTAGCTACAAGTATATGGGGCTTTAAGGCAGCGACTTTTTAGAAATTAGATTAACTGAAATTGCAAACACATATTAAGACAATGTGATGTGGGGTACATAATCACATTCTACATCATAACAGAAAGAAATCAAATGAGCCTTGACGGAATGACGTCTCTATTTTTGACTTTGTCTTTTTGTATTATGCTAAAACTTCGGAGTTTTAAACTTAAGCGTTTGTGTTAAAGGTACTATGTCCCTTTTGCAGCCAACCTCAAATGCTGTAGAACTTTGCAGGAATTATGAATATGTCATGTATGTCCTATCTGTGAAATTTAAACGTTAGCAGTGTCCTCATATTCAAATTATGCGAGGAAACCCGTTTACTTGCTAGACTTCACTGTCAGACACTATTAAGTGACTGACTGGCTTTTTTCTTCTTTGGTAATAACATACATGAAAAGAGTTGTAAAGGGTACATGAGCATTTTGTCTACATCAATAACCCACTTCTTGTGATAGCCAAGATTAAACTGATTGAATCTTTGCGCAGCATAAAACGTATGACTATTCAGTACATTATTGTCTGAAAATCAAGACTATTACTTTTGGGCTCTATAGCCCTAAAGTCGATTTGACAACTAATAGTCGTTATTTTCTCACTTGAAGACATTTTCAAGCCCCACCTTTTTTTAGGGAAGTTCTAAATTAGTATTATCTTTCAAATGCAGTTGGAATTCAACCTTTTCATTTGTTTGGCCTGCAAATGGGACATAGCACCTTTAATAGTCTCAAAATCATAACAACATCAACATCAAATGAGAAATGTTCATGATATATACACGTGATTTTTTTAGTGACATTCTACACATGCACAGACGAACGTTTATTTACGGTTTCCATAACAAACATATATTATTTTCAATTTGTCAGTTTGAAAGTAACTATCATTTTATTCTAGTCATTAAAAAAAAAGTCACACGAATAATTCAAGAGAATGGGATGATGACAATACAGGGAAGAAGGCGTGGAATCCCGCGAGGTGTTATTATTATACGTATGCTATGCATCTAAATTGTTTCATGTTAAAGCTAAAGGGAAAGACAGAAAGTGGCGAAGGGCTGAGAATAATTCTGTACTTGCAACGTGAAATTGCATGATTTGTATTTATCCTCATTTTCTAGTCATCAGATACTATTTTTATCCCATAATAAAATTTATCAAATAACAAAAAGATTAAGAAGAAAAAGCAATGACCGGGTGGGCCGAAATAAAAAGAGTAAAAACGAGAGACTAGGAATTTATTTTAGGAGGCCCCCCCCCCCAAAAAAAAATACTCTTACGAGTCCACGAGTAGGACAAAACACAAGGTTCTAGTAATAGACACTTAATTAAATGGACACTTGTCGGAAAGAAAATTTAAAAGGGCACTACTTGAAAAATGTTGGGAAACTATGACACCCCCACCCAATTGTCGCAACGGGCCTAATTCTTTCTTGGAGCAAATCTCCCTAAATTACAAAAAAAATTATAAAATTAATGATTATCTTTCAAAACCAGCTTTTATCTTTATCATAGAAGTAAACAGACTCTATGCACTGACAAAAACAATTATTTATTATTTATTATTGTATTCACGTTTGGTATCATAAAATGGTGGGATGCTAGCTACGCATCTGCATGGAGTGAAATTTTGGTCAGAAATGTCAATGTTAAGTGTGTATTACACGTAATATTTGCATCAAAAACCATGATTTCGAATTTTAAAAAATCAGTATAATTAAAGTTCTCAGCTAAACATTTCGCTGCTGGAAAATCAAAAGAAATACTGCGGGGACGTACTTGATGATTACTAGTACTTTGTGATATGTCGCCCTCTTTTGGCCAGAGATTGTAAAGACTTCGTGGGCTCTCGATCTCTCAACTCTGATTGGTCGATTGCTAAAATTGACCTTTGACTTGTAATCAAACCGCTAGATTTGAGGTGACTTCCCAAGCAAAAAAGTGATGAGATTTTTCCAATTCTGACTAGCTCAATTGTTTGTAAGTTTTCTTTTTGTAATGGTAGTAAAATGTGTGTATGTTGTTTGACTCTGTTAAATTCTTACCCCTAATATATGTTTAGCTGCTTTGTACATTGTGATTACAAAAGGTAAAGATTGCTGACTTTCCGCGGCCGTGGGGCTCAGCACAGGCTTTCATGCATGTCCTTGTCAACTGTAGGCCAGTGGGCTGGGGCAGGCGTAGTTGTAATCAAAGTGTCGTTGTGCGCTGAGTGTGCATGTTGTCCGTCTATGTGTAATCTAATCTAGATCTAGATCTAGACTAGAGTCGATCAGTCGTGACTAGACTAGATCTAGTATTGAGACAGTGAGAGAGAGAGAGAGTGTGTGTTGTTGTTGTTGTTGTTGCGATTAATGGCGCTTCCATCGTCATTCGATGATTTCCGCCAGGCAATTTCTAGTAGTAGTACTGGACAGACACTGGTCCTCTCTTCATGCTCTTAATCTTATTCTTAATACTTTACTGTTGGAACGATGATAGCCAGAGCCTAGTGGTGTTGTGTTGTGCAATTCCTTAGCAATGTCAGTAAATTGTTAGTAGGGTAGCGCGCCCAGTATTCGGTCAGACAGCCGTTTCAACAGCTGTAACAATTAAAAAATTAATTTAAGAGCCACGAAACTTGCACAAATCAGGCAGCTGAACAACTTTTCTTAACTCTCAAAATTAAATCAGATTTAGGGCCCCGGAAAGATCTCCAAGTTAGCTCGAAATTGGTCAGTGTCGCACAACTTTCAGCACTTCCGCGTTCTCTTAGCACATGCGCTAACATGCATAGCCATATGTAACTCCGGGAAGCTCCAACACCGGCGCCGCAGGCGTCGGAGCTTTAGGTGGTTTCCTTGGTTTCTCTTGGGGGCTAGTAAAACAGCCGATTGGGTGATATTATCATTAAATCTGCAAAGGGAGTACTTACAATTTTTACATCATAGGGTGCACGACTCCTCAGGGCTCAACTCCAATCACTTGAATGTATAATTTGAAGAAGTCTTCGATGGGAAAAAAAGGTTAATTTGGGGTACTACACCAACGATTCTTCCATGTCGCAGCATTGATTCAAAATAGCGATGAGAAGGTACGCATGCGTGGCAGTGGCGAAGAAAATATGAATATTCAGGCTATCGAGCGCCGATCGCTTGAAATCGCTGAATATGCACGACTCGAACAAACAGAGCCCTTATCAACCTCGTGCATATTCAGCGATTTCGAGCGATCGGCGCTCGATAGCCTGAATATTCATATTTTCTTCGCCACTGCCACGCATGCGTACCTTCTCATCGCTATTTTGAATCAACGCTGCGACATGAATTTAGTATGTGTGTGAAGAGAATCACTTCCGTGTTCACTCCATCGCAGTGAATTTGCAAATGACGCACTTGCCGATGTGCGAGAGGTATTTATACGATACCCTTGCCATGCGGTATCGCTCGGCCAGTATTCGGTCAACGCATTGACATTCAGTGCTTTATCGCGCAATTGTGTGAAAATAGTGCGCAAATACGCTTCGCATCTTGGCAACGGAGATACCACGCACAAATCGCGTGACCGAATTCTAATCGGCGCGACCGAATTCTGGGCAGAAAAATGCTCTGTCTTCTTTCGGAAGTATTTTGCTTATCATTATTCTATATTTTAAGTGACTATAAAATCCTGTTAGAGGAATAAATTTCTTTTTTTTTGATGGGTAGATTGCCAAATAAAAGAGGCAAGAATTCAAAATATTAGTGATTTCCCCTTAAGTGAACGAATACTGGGCACTCTACCCTAGTTATTTTCTGTATTGTTATTCAACTTGTTATTTTAAAGAATTCATTAGGAAGGAAGGATGAAGTGGTTGTGATCAGTTCATTACGTTAGGACGTTAGTTTAATTAAGCCTCTCTCCGTAAAATGAAGCAATTTATACAATGTGTGCATGGTGTGATGGTGTAGTATCTATCAGTATCAGTGTGTGCTTACTGTGCATGCTAGCTGGCACTGCAACTCCAGCCTCCAGGTAACTCCAGGAAGCTCTGACGCCGATGCCGAAGGCGTCGGAGCTTCAGCTTCAGGTGGTGCATTGAAAAACATTCAAACAGCGGGTTGGGCGACATTATCTCAAAATATGCTAAGGAAGTACATGTAATTACAATTTTGACTATAAAATAGGTTGCTAGACTCCTCTGGGCATCTATCTGGCAACTTGAAATTATAATTTGAAGAAGTCTTCGATGGCAAAAAGGGGGTGATTCTTCGTCCTACCCCAACGATTCTTCCATGTTGTATCGTCGACTCAACATCGACCCATGAAAGACTTCTTCAAATAAGCCAGTTCACGGTTGCAGTCTGAGCATGAGCAGATCAAGGTCATTGCAGAACAAATTTTGAAATACACGGAGACGGAATACTGGATACGTGCTCATGAAAGTTATGTAATCGTTATTCATTCTTGCACATTCAGTGCAATCCATGATACACAGGTGGAAGTATTCTTTGAAAAGGGGAAACAAAGACTAGCACCTCCATCGCTGTAGGAGTGATTATTCCAAAATGTAAAAAGTGGGACCTCTTCATGTTTTGAAGATCTGTGGATATTCGGGGTCATTGCAGTAATGTGCTAACCGTGAACTGGTCTATTATAATTTCAAGTTGCCAGATAGATGCCCAGAGGTGTCGAGCAACCTAGTAAGTCAAAATTGTAATTACTCCCTTTGCATATTTTGAGATAATGTCGCCCAACCCGCTGTTTGAATGTTTTTCGATGCACCACCTGAAGCTCCGACGCCGCCGATGGGTGATGCCAAAGGCGTCAGATCAGAGCTCCAGTCAAGAGCTTGATTTTGAAAACGATTTAAACAGCGGGTTTGGTCACATTTTTTTCGCAATGTAAAGAGGTAGTAGGCCTAGGTCTAGGCAGAGCTATCAAGTGTCACGCATTTTGAGGGTCTGAAAACGCTCTCACGCACAATGCTATATGCTATAGCCTAGACCTACGTCAGTACGTGTACCCTCGTATGCGCGCTTGAGTGCCGAATCATGAAAATGTCACGCATAGCTGAACTTTGAACTTGGTGTCTCTGCCTAGATCTAGGTCTAGATTCTAATTGCAATTTTGATTTACAATGTGTTTTTTTTACTCCTCTGGCCATCTTTCCAGCCACTTGAAATTATAATTTGAAGAACGTCTTCAAAACAAAGGGTGATTCTTCGTCCTAACCTGACGATTTATCCAATGATCCATGTTGTATCTTTGATTCAACATGGCGAAGAGAAAGTACGCATGCGTGGTAGAGGTGGAGCAAATATGAATATTCATGATATAGAGCGCCGTCAGCTCGAAATTGCACCTTTCCCAATTGTTTTTTCAGACAGTTTCTTTCAACAAACTTGCATGGCCAATAGACCATGTTGGCTACTCAATTTTATTTTTGAAGGTTCAGTGGAACACATACTTTTTATGATCTGATTTTAATATACCAACAAATTACAAAGCCATTGGTGCGATTATGATTTTTGTTTTCTTTCCACAAAATTTCATTTTTCAGAAGAGAAGATGGACCCAGGCAAAGTGAAAAGCTTGGTCACTTTTGTGAGTATGACTTTGTCTTTCACTGAAATTGAAGTTTGTAGTTTGATAGATCTACCCACCTGTTGCCTGTGTAACAGGTGAGTAGATCATTGGTACACCTTTTGCTGTTCTGAGGTCATAAAAACATGAAACGGGCAAAACTTTAGATTTTATTGCAATATGTTTATGTTTATGTCAAAATAATTCCTCTATATTGTAGAAATGTGACAAGGTGTTATAAATTTTCTGTATATTATTCAACAATATTACTTACTTACCATCCTGAAAAATGATGAAGAAGAACACTTGAAATTCTTCATGGAGTACAAACTATACCGATGACTGAAATTACTGATTACTGAGCAGCCCGCCAGGCGCCATCTGCGCATTGTAGTGCTTGAATTGCTGTCAATTCTATTTTTGTTAGATTTGGGGTTTACTGTTTACAACTTCATGTTAGGGTTTTAAGTTAGGGGTAGTTGAATATGTTAGTCCAAGGTTGGAGGCAGCAATTTGGAAAGAGTGGGTGACTGTCCACTCAGCAATTTTATTGATAATGTTGTTTTCAGTAAATTCTTCTTTTTCTTTATTTATTCTTTTTTCAGGTGAACTCACTTGGAGTTGGGGAGGTCATCGAATCATTGCACCAGCTGAAGGATGGAAAGCATTTTATCTCCATGATCAAGATCCTGTAAGGATGAGTATACAAATAATACACAGCAGTGAGGGCATTAGTAAGAACTACCCACACAAGGTACCTTTGCAACAGTCTAACATGCCCAAGGCGATAGCCGTGGGTGTTTGGACTGTTCTGAAGGTACCGAGTGTGCATAATTTTTACTAATGCCTGTACAAAATGATGTGTATTATCTGTTTTTATAAGATTATGTTTTATTTGTTCTATAAAATGATGTTTTAAAACATGATTTGATAATGACCTGTCATTATCAACGTAAGGCAAAATAAATTCCTGGTGACGTGTACGCTCTCACCAATCATTTGATTAGGATCCATGTCATCATCTCATAATAGTAGATAAAATCACCAGTTTAAAATCATCAGGTTGTAAATATTTTATACTGCTTCAAATATACACTGCTAATCGACCAAATATCAAGCTAATATCAAGCTACTAAATTTTCACTCTTCTCAAATTCTTTCATACGTTAGAATGTGCATTCTAAATGTTCAGTCTTTATAATTTTCTACAAAAGTTACATTGGAAAGTAGAGAAGCAAGCATTATGTACTATTGATACATGCATGTCAATTTAGAGTTTAGAAATTTCATTTTATGAAGTCTCCAGAATAACTATTAGATAATTTAGATGTATAACAAATTATGGAAACCTGTATGAACTATGAAACATGCACATTTGCACAACTTTTATAAGTGCTCACTGTCTTTTTCATCTTTACAGTTCCGACAAGGAAGTCCCAGACTGCGATAATCCTATGCAATGCTACCGCTACGTTCTGAAGTATTTGGAAGGTAAGTGTAAGATTAAGTTAAAGAGAATGTCATATTATATCACACAATCATAATTTTTATGCATTAGTTGTAATATGATATCAGTATATTAAAAAAGGGACTGTCATTAGCCCAAACTGTCTTTTATTCACGTTTCAGTTGCCGGTCTGTGCCATTATTGATCATAAATATGACTGTTCTACTCTGAATGTTTCTCCTTCTCATGCCAGGGTTTTACCAATCTTCTCTCAAGTACCATGTGGACTTCTCCCAGATTGTCAACGGCTCCAGCGTCGCTGAGGTGGCAAAGGTCACGACCCTGCTGCTCTGCGCATCCATCCAGAGTGAGAGGGTCAAGATCTTTGTGGATGCCATCACCGAGCTTGACCTATTGACCCAGAATGACCTGAAGGAGATCATCCAGTATATCGTGGCCCAGGAGAGTAGCCACAAGCTCCGGGCAGACTTTGCAGATATCCTTCATCGACGAGGTGAGGAAAAATGTCTCCAACCAATTTATATGTCCAGAATAGTCTAGATGTGATGATTTAGTGTCATAAAAGGTCTTTTATTTCCACTATCAGCATGTAATGTTGTTTATGTGTAAGGAACTTACATATCTCAACTTAATGCAGAGTAATACCCACAGTTTAGAATGGATATGAATTTTTATAAAACATATTCTTTTTCTGTATTTTGAACATTGCTTCAAGAAAAGAAAGAAATTAATCTCTTGAAGTCTTGAACTTTGAATAAATTGAATATTCAAGGATTCTATTGCAGCCTTTTATGTTTCGTGTGCTTGATATATTCCTGACATGTTTAGGTTCTCAGCCAGCTACCACAATTGATGAGTGTATCCCGTCTACAACTAGCCAGCGAGGTAGTGAGGCAAACGTACATGTAGCATGTACTCCTTGTTCTGACTGAGTGGGCAACTTGCCCCTTCCTCCAGGGAATTTCCAAAAAGAGCCCAGAGTTCAATGCTAAACAAATTAAATAGTGTTATTTTCATGCAAGCAAGCTTGAAAAGTAGCCCTGAAATATTTAAAATGATATTCCCTGCCTTCCTCTTTTGAACTAAAAATTGGAATTCAGTTCCTAGAAACTGTTTCGTTTTAACCGTGAAGATATTTAGTTGACATACATACATTACAAAAATAGGATTGTACTTTTGTACTAGCAGCTGCCCAATGGTTGCGTAATGTATCTGCTAGTTCTATGATGTTTAACAAATGTTAATTATCACTAGGAAAGAAGACTTGCCCACTCAGATTATAAAGCATATCCATTATACATTTATCTATATCATTGGGATGTAACATTGTGATCATATTACTCTTATTATTTGCTTTATATGGCTCAAATTGCCTGTATAATGTGGCAAGGAACATTTATAACACTTTCTTCACCCCATTTATTGTGATGTTTTTCATAAAAACACTTTCCCATTGTCTAGTAAATTCTTAAGTTTTGTTTAGTCATCAATATTTACTTTAGGCTCTAACCAATGTAATACTATTTTTTTGTGGATGACAAACAATATTCTTGTTAACCATATTCATTTGGGAAGATGGAGTAAATAATATTACAGATATTACTATTCTATTACAGTATATATGATTGTCTTCAGGTTCTGTGACTGTTATGGCTGCTTTAAAGTCTTCATAATTGTAACCAACATACACTAATGCTATCATAAAATGCCTTTTCTTTTATTCAGTTCTGAAAATCCGTTTTGGGCTGTATGCAGTTTTACCCCTGAATTTTAAAGCATTTCTAACCAGTACTCAATAATCATGGGCTGATTTTATTTCTTTGGTTGTTCCTTCATATTTGGTATATGTATATGTTTGGGTGATTATTTTTGTTAGATATGTTGTTTTTCTGTGAAATATTTTAATTACCGGGTATTTGTGTTTTTGTATTCCTTCTTGGTGTCTAATTTCTTCAATGTTTTTGAAAAAGGAAACAAAATCAGTCATTAGACATTCATATCATTGAAACTTCTCAGTATAAAAATAATCTTCAGTTAAATTTCAATAGAATACATGAAGGCTTTTATATTTACGTTTAGATCAGATATTTTAAGTTGGTAGAATTCCTTGTAAAGCATGCATCAGACAAATTTATCAAAGCCTTACACAATCCAAGCTTATACCCAGTACGCTACCTGTATATTACAAAATGTACCTGTGTTCAAATATTGGTAGTAATCTATAAATTTCTTCATAGTCGACAATTGTAAAGCACAGAGAAACACTTTGTAAAATATACTATAAAACCATTATAACGTATTATTATTACTAACCTGTATTTAGCACATTATAACCTTACAAAATATTTGCTCATCTTTTCATCCGTAGCTTTTTTATGTTGCACAATGGCAATGCAAATATTTCCCGGAATGAAAAAGAAACATTTATATAATTTATCATAATCACTAGTTCACTACATTTTCAACTAACATTGGTGATCTGGATCAAAGATCATAATACCTATATATTGAAAAATTCTCTTAGCTAACCAAAGCTGAGACTTGAAGAGAGAATTCATCTGGGACTTGGGGAGTGTTTCACAAAGACTAAGATCGACTTTAAGTTGGACTTAAATATGGCAGGCCGTTCATGCCACTAGTTCCTCTAACCATTTCTGGCATTGGTCTCTTAAGGGACACATACAAATCATTGTCACAAATCTACAGAACTTATATTTTTTGATAGTTCACTATTGAAGCAAAAATATTATCTAAAGATCATAATTAAGAGACCAGTGGTGAGAGCAACTAGTGCCATGAATGACCTGCCATAGTCAAGTCCAACTTAAATTCCATCTTAGTCTTTGTGAAACACCCCCTGGTCAATTAGTAAAAACAAAGCAGCTGTAAATTGTACAGCTTATTCTACTGCTATTAAATGGAACTAATGATGATTATGTTGAATAAAGAATTCATTGTCAGGTGCATTTTTACCAGAGCCATCTATACACAGAGTTTGGCCAACCCGGCTTGAGTTGAACACAATATGGCGACTACTGCCTTGTTGGGCAAGCCCAAAGCAAAAGAATATACGTAATGTTGTGACCCAGTGACACCAAGTTGGCCAAACTCTGTGTATAGATGGCTCTGATTATAACTACAGGCAAGATTGTCATCCTGATTTAGTTTTGACATGACAAAATGTATGATTACATAAATTTGAAACCTATTTATTATCCTTCCCATCTCTAGCAATGCTCTCAAGAGGCGTTAACATGCATTACTTGGATTTTCTTGCTTTTATAGGTGATCATACGAGTGAATCTTCTCGAGCTGTCCTCACCCCCATGGAGCAAGGCTCTCCGTTTCCAACAAGGTTGACGTCATCGTCAGCCTTCTCCGACTCTCCGATGTCTCCGGTCCACAACCTCATTAACTCTCCCTACATGGTCAGCAAGGTAGGTCGCATCAGGGAGAGGCCTTGCTATAGGCACAGACTCTAAACTGACACTTAAAGAGACTTGGTAACATTGTTGAAGGTTGATGAAAAAACTGTGTAATTTTTGTATGCCATGTTTCTTATTATATTCTTTTTACTGTACTAGCCCTCTAACATGCAAAAATCCTGAACAAATTCTCAAACCACAAAGATATTTATGGTTTTCTTTGGAGGCGTCACTGTGCGACACCCTCTAACAGAAAAATCTCCCAACCACTTTTGAATTTTCCCGACCATTTTTCCATGAAAATAAGACATAAAAAAGGCTTTTAAAATCTTTCAATTCTAAAATGTTTTGAATGGTAATGGTATATAGACCAAATTCATTGCTTTGTGACGATTTACATTCACCTAAAATGTAATGAAATTGTAATAATATAGTTGGGAGAATTAGGAAATCAATCAGATTAGTTTTTCCCAATTTTTAGCATTAATAATGGTCTGTTTTCACTCAAAATTTTAAATTATCTTATCATCTTAGCACCATTTTCTCTTATCTGAACAATGTTACCAAGTCCCTTTAAACACAATAGATGGGTTTACTAACAAAGACAAATTTGATGCATACTTTTTAAACAAAGGTTGTTCTCGACAAACTAAAGCTTGCCCGAGGCCAGCTCGACTTATCAACGAGTGATTTGTGCAGACTGGATTCCAAGTATTGTAATTCATTCATTCATTAATAACTAGGTCTTCAGGAAAGAAGCATCCATACATTTGAATATTTTAGTAAACCGGTCTTTTCCAGAGAGTCTTGAATCAAGCACAACTCCAGTAGCAACTACAGTGCAGGGCCTATGGACGGCAGTCTCTGTTTAGTCTAGCTGCAGACACAGACTCTGAATTGACACTCAAACACAATTCCATAGAGCCTCTAACCAAGCCCAACTCTGTCAGTCACTTGAAGGAGCAGCCGCATTACAGGGCCTATGGACTCCAAGTATTGTATTGATATCGAGAATGCCTTTGATTTGAATGTTTATTTATACCCATCCCATTGACACCTGTCTGTTACTGTGGCGTTTCCCAGTAATGCTACTGTGATCTGGGCCCCGTCTTACAAAAAGAGGTGCGATTGATCCAAATCAATCGCAAGTTTGCAGTCTCTTATCTCTTATGTACATACTGGTAGTTGCGATTGATATCAGCTCCTTGTAAGACGGGGCCCTGTCATAAGTTTTCCCTGATTTAAAAAAACAATCTTTCCATTTCAGCTGAACAATCGCAGATTACATGATCGAGTGCGTACCCTGGAATCCAAGATAGCCTCTGAGACAGCACTGAGGCAGGACCATGAAGCTGAGATCATTGAGAAAAACTCAGACATTGGCCTCAAAGGTTTGTCGCTCATTTGTTTAAGTCTTAAATTGTGGTGCACTCTAACACCTGCATAGCTGCCAATCTTTCCTATTTTGGAGGCATGATTCCTATTTGTTGGCCTGCAAACTAATTTTATGAACCCTAGGTTCCTCTCTGTTTCTGAAAACTTCTGTATCAAAAGTATACAAAATAGACAATATTCCTATTTCTGCCTTGAGAGATTCCTTATTTTTGCTGTGATTGGTTGGCATGTTTGCACCTGTATCGAATATGTCGTCTAGAATGGCAGACTCGGATCTCGGATTTATTTTATTTTTATTTTGAGGATGGTATTCTATAGCAGATATCTTGAATTCTAACAAAGCCAACTGAGCAAACGCTTAATACTGATGGTTAGGCTGAATTTTTGTTTCTTCCGAATTAACAGATATGATTAAACTAAACAAAAATCCCTTTAAAAAAAATAGATTGAGGTATGTTCCACTCAATGTGATGAATATATGTAGTTTTTGGCACCTCGTGATTGTATAAAACTGGGTATAGAACTACAGATTATTCATATCATATTGCCTGGTCTTCAGGGTGCCATTAGAAAGTTTACTTATTGTGAGTGATATAAAATATTATTTCAAACACCCACCATAATTAATCGACAGCGATATATGATTCCATTCTTTGATCATCTTTATAACATGTCTGTTTTTTTGAAAATCTATACATCCTCGTTATTTGGTTTATGATTACACAGACAGCCAGCTACGTGAGCTGAACCAAAAGGTCAAAGAACTTAACAAGCTGAAAGATGAGGTCGATGAACTCCAGGAAGTTCAGGCAGAACTGCAGAAGAGTACGAGAGAAAACACGAGGTAAGATCGACCTGCAGTCATGCTGTCATCATTTTCCATAGTTACTGTTGGATTTCTGCAATAGAGATCTGTCAAAGAGCTACCTCAATCAGCAGTCACTGAGCTACAGTTCTTGTTTTTGTTTTATTTCTGGGATTAAAGAGGAGGTTGAGTTCTGGTCATGCAATTGCATCGTAAAAGAAACTGTGTTGAATCGATCGGAGAAGGTTGATCATCTAGCATATATGTATTTGTGTGTACTGCAAGGTTCTGGAATCATCAAAAGGATAAGAGATTTGGCCATGTCTTGGTAAAGTTACAAACACTGTACACAGAAAGACGTATATGGGACTTCACTAACATGTGGCATAAAAATCCGTCCCGATTTTTATGCTGTTGCATGCCATATTTAGAATATTATATATATTTAGAAAAGCATTTGAAGAGCCATGCTTTTCAGGGAACATTTTTTATCTGATGTTTTTCAACACTTGCATTATACAATGATAACGCTCACAAATGATTTCTCACCCTTTCCAGAACTCAACCTTCTCTTTAAAGCATAAAGAATCCTTGAAAGTATCTGACTCTAGACTACTATTAGCAATATTAAGCAAATAACTACCGTTGGTGAAGGTGATGGGACAAACTATCACTTCCGAGGCGATCTGGATGTAGCTATCTTTCCGAAGCGAAGCTGAGGAAAGATAGCGTATACATTCTGATCGACGAGGAAGTGATAGTTTGCCATCGCCTGAAACCAAAAGGTGATTATTTGCTTTATATTCCCCATCTAAAATAATTTAACTACAAAAAGAAAAGGACGTGTATGCCTCTACATGAAAGACACCAGGCCCAAATTCACACCAAAAAAATTGAAAGTTTAACCCAACTCCTTGAGGGTACGGTGCGCGCATGTGTTTGCTTTAATTGCGCTCATTGGTAATGCGCGCTTAATTACGCCTGTTTTAGTGCGCATTTGGATAATCTTCAGTGAAAGTGCGTTTCCCTGTGTAGATAGTACCTCTATCTTCAGTGAAAGTGCATTGCACTGTGTAGATAGTAGTACTATCTACACAGTGTAACAAACTTTTTGCTTCTCCCATCAATAATGGGCGAACTATCTTTCATCACGTGATTTACTTTTGACCAATCGTAGAGCAAGATTCTTAGTATGTGGAATATAAATCAATATATCAATACTTCCCCTCTCTTTCCCTCTCTCTCGCGTTCTGAGACAAATCTTTGATAAGAAGTTGTTTTGAGACTAGTGAATATGTGTAATATGCTTCCAATGCTTTCTGTTACTTATTTCTTCCTCTCACTCTTTATCTCTGTACCTTTTTTTTAAAAATTATTTATAAATCTTCATCTATTTCTCTCTTCATCTTGGATTGATGCTTTCTCTTCGCAGATTGAAAAAACTGTTAGAGAAGAAAGCCGAGTTGAAGACGGACAACCAACACCTTGAGAAGCAGAATGAAGAACTGTTATCAGAGAGACAAGAACTCAAATACATGGTGTGTATACTCTCTATATGCTTGTTTGAATTTACTCTCTGCCATTGTGTTTTTATGCCTTTATACCCAAGCTATTCTGCACCAGTACAGTCATTCTCCTTTGTGTAATGTAATTATAAGAAACTCTAAATTTTACTTTAAAATATAATAATCAAGATTCCTGTGTGTATGTGGTCATGTCATATCCTCTTGTTACTACAATCAAACCTGTCTACAGCGACTGCCTAAGGGAAACGTGGTCTTTGTAGACAGGTTCCTTTAGGGCATGTTTCAATGAGAAACCATTTTCAAGGGAAACAAAAAAATGTCCTCCTTGTAGACAGGTGGTCACTAAAGCAGGTTTGACTGTATATGATTTTAAAGAGATTTCCGTTTTTCACTGTCCGTATGTCAAAAGCAACAACATGTAAAGGCTTAGCTTAGAATAAATTTTGGGAAGAATTAAACTTCTTGATCATCTCGCTGCCATTTTTAGACCACTTCTTCATCGTACAAGTAACCTCGGACATATCAGTATATTTTTAGTAATAATAGAAATGGATTTATATAGCGCTTAATACGAAATACCATCTCTAAGCACTTGACAGATATTATTACCCCAGTCAACGTATTAATTCATGCGCAGTGTGCACCACCCCCTGGGGGGTATTCATACCATATGGTCACCATGAGGGCATATGGCAATTACAATCAAAAGGCTTTCGTCATCCTACCAGGCCCCCATTTCTCTGATGCATTAATGTTTTGCCAAACGTCACTAGTGCCATGTAGAGGATCGAACCCATGACCTATGCATTTCAAGTCACCAGCTCAAACCTCTAGACTATGACACCTCTAGTAACAATCACATCAAGGGTTCAGTGTCACAAAGACGTAACTCCATATTTTGCCAAAATTAGTATTTGATATCAAAATGTTCAGAAAAATGTGGGCTTTCCAGGAAACACAAAGATTTAACTCCACCCAAGTCAATGGCTAGTAAACATAGACTTAACATCTTAAGGCCCAAGTACTCAGTGACACATAAACCACTTTTTAAAAAAATGGCCAGAATGGAGTTACGTCTTTGTGTCACTGACCCCTCGGCGTCGACCTTTATCACTCTACACCGAACAGATGAAGGGTCACGGCGCCATCAAGAACCAGTTTGAGGAGACGCGCGTTCGGCTGCGTCGCTCCGAGCTCAACCTCGGCGAGCTGCACAGGGATAACTGTCGCCTGACCGAAGAGGTGGAGGGTGCCATGAAGGAGAGGCAGGAGCTGATTCATATGATGGAGACCAGTCAACAGATGTACAAGGAGAAGATTGCCCTCCTGGAGGATCAGCTTTTGCAAGGTAATCATAAAACAGCAGTTGGGAGATTTGTATTTGTGGTTGCCAAGGATGCCAGTTTTCAGGCAATAGCCTGCATTCAGGCCCTGGCAAGTTATATTCAGACGAATAGTTTAGGCTTTTTTTGTGTACAGATTAGCTCATTCTAGGTGATTTTCAGGCCCTCTGATCAATTCTAACTGGCATCCCTGGGATGTGTATCAACTGTTGATTAGAAGCCTAATAAGCATTTTGTTATTTTGTTTCATAATTCCCTTTTATAAAATTGTGTTTTCATATTTGTATCAGGGCTTAAATTAATCCAAGGCCACCAAGGCCATGGCCGTGGATGCCCCTTCGATTAGCCTCAATGCCCCTCTCATTGGCCTTGGAGATTTTTTGTGCCCTTTCCAATTCTTCCTATTTGTGCTGTAATATAGCATTGTGTCCTACAGAAAAGTGGCCTTGTCCTAAAAATATTGAATCAAATCAAGTCTTATTCGTTATTGCTATCCTGGATAAAGCATTGCTACTCGACGAGTCCGTCCAAGCATTACAAACAAAATTCTACCAGGAATCTATTAATCACACCTTGGTATTAAAAAAAGAGTGGCAATTGTCTTGCCAAAATACATATACACCACATTTTTGATTTTGGTAAAACTGCTTTGAGAAAACGTTGGCCTCAAAATAGAATAGCATAGAACTAATTTGTGTCAGTGGCACACTGCATTAGTGACTTCTAATTTTTTTTTACAGGTTGCCTGATATTCTAGATTTTTTTTTTCCTTTCAGCCTCTAGCCCAGCGGTAATGGGAGAGTCCTTGGGTATCATTGCTGAGCAGCGTGTCTCTGAACTTGAGCTGGAACTGGAGAAGGTGCGCATGAGCTGGACCAGTCCCGAAGTCTATCAGAAGATGAAGAGCCTGTACGAGGAAGCTTGTCGGACTGCACAGGCATACGAGGTAAAGAGAAATACATCATGAGTTGATGCCCTTCCCCCCGTCCCCTCAGTGTGTGTACGTGTGTAATCAAACCATGTCAGGACAACTACCTCAGGACTAGTAAGCCCTCTCTCCTCCCCCCTCTCCTCCCCCTCTCCTCCCCTGACTCCCCCTAGGACACTAATCCAATCCTTGGAACATTACCTCTCAGACAACTACCCCCTTAAAAAATTACCCATGATCATCTTCAAACAACTTTCAATGGGATGATTTACGAAGGAATAGAGTTGTCCTTGGGATACTAGGCCCTAGTTGTGCACCTGGTAATTTCCCTAAGGGGATAGTTGTAGGAACATTTGTCAAGGTGGGGTAGTTTTCATAAGATCCAGTCAAATATGCCATAGTGCCCATCTCTATATTATGGAGATCACCTGTCTGTAGTGTTTCGTGTTTGTCACATCAAGAATTAAAACCAAAAAATTCCTGATTAAAAAAAAAAAATTATATATTTTTTTAAAACCCAATTTTGTTTTGTTCTTCCCGGTTTTATCCCGATTTTCATCTCATTTTCTCTATTTTTCCCTATTATTTTCCTATTTTTCTTACTCAAAAAGGGGGCAAAGTTGTTAGATGCCATTTCCCCCCCCCCCCCGAATCCTCTTTTTTTTTTTTGCTCAGGGGGGGGGGGGGCGTGGTTTTTTAGTGCTTACTATCACCCCTGCATATACAATGGCTGCATATTCATTCAAATTCATTTTTGCTCTCCTCAGGGTCAGTTGAAAGAGAGTCAAGATCAAATGAGCCAACTCGAGGTTAACATCCAGAATCTTCAGTCTACCTGGGCTTCTCCCGACGTCCACCAGGAACTGAGAGACCTCTATGAAATGACCAACCAAGACAAACACAAATATGAGGTAATGATTCTTCTATTTTATATATATATATATAGAGAGAGAGAGAGAGAGAGAGAGAGAGAGAGAGAGAGAGAGAGAGAGAGAAAGAGGAATTAGATGCACGTAGAACCAAGATATACTACCTTTTGTAAACTTTGTGGATACTTATTGTTAATCTGTTTGAAAAGCTTCACCCAGATGACACTCTTGTTCTAAGTTTGCATCGCTGCATCCAAGATTTCAGGTTATGAAACTGGTTAGAGAATGGTGGAATGAGACAAATTTTTGTTGATTTTGTAAGATACAAGAATGATTTTAAGTACAAGGAAATAATTTTTGTTGTATTTTTTGCTCAGGTTCACTTGAAAGAGAGTCAGGATCAGATCAAAGAGCTTGAGATGAATATTCAGAACCTTCAGTCTACCTGGGCTTCTCCCGATTCCCACCAGGAACTGAGAGACCTCTACGAAGAGACCAACCAAGAGAAACAAAAATATGAGGTAATGATTCTTCTACTATATACGTATAGAGAGAAATTTGATGCATGTAGAACCCAGATATACTACTTCTTGTAAATGTTGTGAATACTTATTATTAATCTGTTTTAAAAGATTTGACCAGATGACGCTCTTATTTTAAGTTTGCCTCGCTGAATTGAAGACTTCAGGTTATGAAACTAGTTAGAGACCAAATAAAGAAGGTGAAATGAGACAAATTTTTGTTAATTTTGTTTTGAGGTACAAATTGATTTTAAGTACAAGAAGAGAAACGAAATTGATATTTTTTCCTCAGGTTCACTTGAAGGAGAGTCAGGATCAGATCAAAGAGCTTATGCATATTCAGGAACTTCAGTCTACCTGGGTTTCTCCCGATGTCCACCAGGAACTGAGAGACCTCTACGAAGAGACCAACCAAGACAAACAAAAATATGAGGTAATAGATTGCTCTTTTGGAGAGAGGAAATAGCACTATAGAAAGATGAATGAGGGGAAGGGCAATAGAGAGGGAGGGAGAAGAAAAGAGACATACGGGAGGAAGGGGAGAAATGTTAGAGAGGGAGGGAGAGGGAGGGGAGACAAGAGGAAGGAAGAGAAAGAGAGAGAGAGAGAGAGAGAGAGAGAGAGAGAGAAGGGGGGGGGGAGAGGAAGGAAGGTGGGAGATAGATCAGTCTAATAGAGCAATGTCATTTCCATTGGTAAGTCCATTTCCAATGAGTGTATGTTTCAATTATCCGTGGGTGTGAAATTCTGTACGTACTAGTTGAATTATCAAAAAGATGTGTCCTAATAACATATTTTCAGCTTGCCAGTCTAATTCTAATTCAATTTTTGCAACTTATTTCAGAGACTAGAGACAAAAGAAATGTTTCTAACTAGTGCTGTAGTCAAACGTTTAACTGTCCGGTATCCGACCGCCCATGGCGGATTCCGTTTTCAATTGGACGGTTTCGTTTTCCTGTTTTTTTAATTTTTAATTCTTTTTTAATTAAAAAAAAAAAAAGTTTTAATTTATGCTCCTCCACCTGGCACTATGTCTGGCAATGTCTCCCAGTTCAGTAATCTGTGTGTTGACTCACCACTCCAAAACTAGAACAACACCCCAATTTGTCTGTCATCTTGGTTTGAAAGTAATCTTTGTAATAGATCTCAATATGTAGTTTATAATAATAATTCATCCAACTTTTACAGACGGCGTACCACAAGGTTCTATCCTAGGTCCTCTACTGTTTTTAAATTACATTAATGATCTTACACATTCTTCTAAAAACGACATTGTTACTATTATTTGTTACAAGTTCACAAGCACAAATCGGTGCCTTCGGAATTGGAGATATCTGTGATGTTACAGCACTATTTCTAACTATGTCAAGCACAAAACTATGTTGTATTTTGCTTATTTTAAGTAAATACATTGAAATGGTTCCAGATTATGGCAAGGAAGTAAATTGTATTTGTGAATTTTTCCCAGGTTCACTTGAAAGAGAGTCAAGACCAGGTCAGACAGCTTGAGGTTACTGTTCAGAATCTTCAGTCTACCTGGGCTTCTCCCGACGTCCATCAACAACTGAAAGAACTCTATGAACAGACCAGCCAAGGATACGAGGTAATGACTGTTCTTCTGTAAGAGCAGAGATGCCAACTGATCCGTTTTTGCCGTATTTAAAAAAAATTTTTTTTTAATGAATACGGCAGTATGTTTTTTGTATGGTTTGTTACGTTTTAAAGGGATGGTTGAGTTCTGTTGCGGAGGGCGCTACACAAAATAATTTTTTGTGAGATAATAACAAACTGAGTGTCAAATTTGAAAGAACATAATATGTAAATGACAAAATCATCTTTGTTTGATCAAAATCGGTTCAGAGACGGCTGAAATATAAGGATTTCTAATACTTGTGTACCACCACAAATATTAGATATTTTGAAAAATTTGATAAACGATTGAAAACAACGAAATAACGCCTTTTTGAGAGATTGAGAGAAAGTTCAGTCAAATAGAAAAAATGTCATTTCTGATTAGGGAAGGTCACCACGTAGGTCCACCAGAAACTGAAGGAACTTTATGAACATACCAACCAAGACGAGCAAAGGTATGAGGTAAAGAGTGGCATTTCATCAATTGAGAATGTACAGCACATTTGGTACGGTACAAGTTCAGTTGCAATATCTTCCATCACTTCTCTTCTAGGTCCAATTTGGCTCATCTGGCCTCACTCTCCAGATTACTCATCTCAAGGGATATGGAGACCGGGCATTTTCCTCTATTGCTCCTTGCCTGTGGAATTCCCTCCCATCATCGCAAAATTGACAACCTGGACCAAAGCTTCACTCAAAACTCACATCTTCCTTCAGACATTTAAATGCTAATTTTATTGGAGGAGCTCGCGACTTTGAATGTTTTTTTAAACAGATATATGGCGCCATACAATTTACCAAAGATTTGAGCTGATCGGTATAGGCACTGACACTCGATGGAATTCTTGAAAAGAATTTGCCTAACAGAAACACAAACTCTCTACCAATCTGATTTAATTCCCACACAGTTCTAACAGATTTTCGACTAGTTACAGAGTTCTTGCTAGCCTTTCACAGTGTAATTTTTTTGTTGCATTTGTTTAGGTTAGAACTAAAAGTTCTTGAGAACTATGAACACTTCGGTAATGTTTGTCTGTTATTCTAATTCAGGTACATTTGAAAGAGAGTCAGGACCAGATAAGACAACTTGAGGTTAACATCCAAGATCTTCAGTCTACCTGGGCCTCTCCTGAAGGTCATCAAAAACTGAAAGACCTCTACGAAGAAACCGATCAAGACAAACAGAAATACGAGGTATAAACAATTTTCTTATAGGATATAGATTGTGTAACCACAAATTGATTATTATTGTTTTACTTTCCAAACCCATACATGCTAGGGCTATTTATAAACCTCGAACTAATTTGCGATCTGCAGGTAAATACCTCCTTGAGAGTCTTCGGACACGCCTCCTTCTAGGGGATCGATCATATACTGCCTGTGCATCGAGATTGTGGAATGGTCTTTCCCAAATCCTTCGCTCTTGTCACCAGTTATCCACTTTCAGAACTCAACTAAAGATGTACCTATTTCAGATTGCTTACAATTAGTCACTGCCATTTTATCTTTCCCAGTTAGAATCATGAACAGACATTTTTTGTAGTTTTTCAGTCTTCAGTCTTCAGCCTTTGATTAAGCAAGTAGATATTGGTGCTTTATAAATTTCTGGATTGGATTGGATAAGGCTCTGTTGTCAAGAGGGTCAACGTAAAGGAACCACTCTGCTTTGATCATATTGTAGCGCCTAACCATTTTGGCAGGGGAGGACGTAAATTTGGGACCAGCGATCGGGGGTCATTCGTGTGAAGATATGATTCTGAGATGCTCAAGAAAAAAACTGTTGATATTCCAGCTTAATCAGTTATTAGAATTTGATTCAAAATTCATGTTTTCCGAGTATGATTATTGTGTTGATGATTAACTCGTATCCTGCCATGAGGTCGCATGCGTGCTACCATTATAGTGCATTGTACACGATTGGCTGCTTAATTCATGTGAGCGAGCCACAGCTTAGCTGCTTTATGCATGCATGCTCATATTCGTAATAGCAGTTTATTATTATTCATGCTCATTGTACTTTGCCGAGTGCTTCGCTATTGATAGCACCGTTACGTGCATCAGATTATCTCAAAATAAACTTGGCACAGGGGGGATTTGTGGCTTGGCACAATGGGGATTAGCCCTGTGGCACTGGGCTGTATTCATTATGGCAGGATAAGAGTTAATAGAGATTTTGTATAACGGACTCACTTGGAGTGAAGTAGAATCATAAATCGTCCTTTATATCAGAGAGTGTTGATTGCTGTGTCAGTGTGGATAGTGAGCATGCATGAGCGGGTAATAATAATAATACTCAGCTTTTATATAGCGCGAAGTACAGTTAAGTCTCTAAGCACTTCCAAACTTGGAGATTATTACCCTGGCTTTAGCTGTGCTGCCATTACGACGCTCTAGCACTTCAAGGAATCAATTCCTGCCAGGTACCCATGTACATCACCTGGGTTGAGTGTGGCAAATGTAGTTCAATGTCTTGCCAAAGGACATTAGTGCCGCGGCGGGAATCGAACTGCGGACCTTGTGATCGACAGTCCGGCGACATGACAACTCGACCACAACACCTCTATGTATATATGGGCCCCAGATCGAGTGTTGGAGTGCTTCAATATCACAGATTTTTTTACTTTGCTTTTAGTCCTCAGATCTTAGTTACAATATGATAAACATTTTTTTAAATGGTGCATATATATGTCTTTTAAAAAAAAATCTCTAAATCTCTATCACATTTCCTTCCCAGGTTCACTTGAAAGAGAGTCAGGATCAAGTCAGACAGCTCGAAGTTGCTGTTCAGAATCTTCAATCTACCTGGGTTTCTCCCGATGTCCACCAGAAACTGAAGGACCTCTACCACAAGACCAACCAAGACAAACAGAATTATGAGGTAATGATTTTTCTTCTGTAGCAAGAGAGAAAGTTCAGTCGATTAGAGCAATGTCATTTCCCTTGGCAAGTTCTAATGTTACGTAATGATAGAAGTAGGCTTGAGTCGGTACGGTCGATCACACCGGGACCCGACCGTTGCCGTCGGGTCCCGGTTTCGTTTTTTGAGAACCGACGCTCCGAAAAAAATAATGAAATATGTAAGAAATTGCAGTTTTGCACACCACTAAAATCAATCCACCTTAAAACTTAAGTATTTAATTGTTACCAATCATATTCTAGCTCATCCTGAATCAATCAATCCTGAACTGCTGATATAAATATGGGTTGCAAAGCAGTTCGCCCCATGGGGTTGTTGTTGCCAGCTGCTAGCCAGCTACTATACTGGCCGGATCTCTCGGCAGGATTAATGAATCAGGTTGAAAGAAACATTAATGTTTGAATAATAAAACGGCTTTCTAAAAAGTACTTCTTTACAACATACCGATCGAATAATTTTTAAAAGACGAAATAGATATTTTTTCTTTGATTTTGAACACCGCATGCTTCTTTTAAAAGCTGAAAATTACTTGCTAATCACAAGAAGTTTCGATACGGATAGCTGTTGCAAGGCAAGTTCAGACTAGTCTCGGAAAAATGCGCAGTGCTCGTCGTTAGCTGTAATGCGTGCCAGAACGAACCCAAACAAAGACGTGATCGTAACGAGAAAAAATCATTAAAAACTACGAGAGCACAATTGGAAAGACAACTACTCAAAATTATCGTAAGCAGATACATAACTTGGAGGAAGAATACAATAGTTGTCCAAGAAAAGCCACAGAAATAGTGATATTTAAGGAGCTACTATAGGTACAATTATTATCAGAATGGGCCTGCAGCTCCGATCTACACGTGTTTAAACTGAACACGAGGCTAGAAAACAAATACCGCCCTCTACGGTAAAAGCAGTATAACAAAGGGTTCGAGTATTTGCAGCAGGCCCAATGCGATAAAAATGTACCCAGTTACTCCTCGATTATCACAATTTCTGTGGCATTTCTTGGGCGATTACTGAATTCTTTGTCCAAGTAATGTATCTGATTATGGTAATTTTGAGCAGTAGTTCTCTTTCCAATTGTGCTCTCGTAGTTTTGAATGATTTCTTGTTACGATCAAGTATATTTGTTTTGGTTCGGTCTGGCACGCATTACAGCTAAGAGGTGCACTGCGCATTTTTCCGTGACTAGTCTGAACTTGCCTTGCAACAGCTATCCATATCGAAACTTCTTGTGATTACCAAGTAATTTTCAGCTTTTAAAAAAAAGCATGCGATGTTTAAAATAAGAGATAAATATTTATTAGTCTTTAAAAATTTATTTGATCGGTATGTTGTAAAGAAGAAGTTTTTAGAAAGCCGTTTTATTATTCTAACATTCATATTTTTGAGCCGATTTATTCAACCTGCATGAATCAAAATGGCGGCTCGAATGTTGTCACGAATGTTGTCTTTACATTTTTGCTCGAGTTTTTTAAAACTTTTAGAGGCACGATAATGGCACTAAACATCGCCAATCATGGATGAAAATATTGTCAAATGGAAGAATATACCAATCTGTGCCGAGGTATGCATGTGTTGATTTATTTGACTGATAAAAAAGGTCACTTTTAAGGGACATACTGATGATATGCGCTTTTTATAGAGGCAAGTGACAAATCCTGCGAGCTGATTTCGGGACACCGGGTCCCGATCGGTGCAAGGCCGTCGGGACCCGGTTTATGAAAATCCCGACATGACTCAGGCCTAGATAGAAGTTTTCTTTGATATAAAAGGTAAATTGGGCATGTCTTTTCTTTCATTTCGTGTGCATTCCCATTATAATAGGAATAAAAAACAGATGCGCTTGAAGTCGGTCATTAATAAGTAACTGTGATATTCTGTAACCATTGGTCTCACCCTTTAAGAGGACATGGATTTTCTCAAAGATCACAATTCTTGGCTAGTGTATGAGCAGTTCTCAGCTCACTCAGCTTCATCCACCTTTCCGAATTCAAACCCAAACTTAAGTTTGTCTTTGTCATTTTCTATCATAGGGTCAGTTGCAGGATATTCAGGATAAGATCAAAGAGCTTGAGATTAAAGTCCATAATCTTCAGTCTACCTGGGCCTCTCCTGAAGACCATCTGAAACTGAAAGAACTCTATGAAGAAACCAACCGAGACAAGCAAAGTTGTGAGGTGAGTGATTTGACCCATTTTTGAAGCAGCTTAAGTTCACGAGACATTTGATTTAGTTTGTGCATACCTTCGGTTGAACTGAAGTTGTGAATTCCTGTAAAATGCATACATGTATTTGGTTGGCATTTTACTTTACATTTTATTTTCGTTAGGATGATTGATGATTTTGTTGCATAAATATTGCGATGGCTACTTTTTTATATACTTTGATATTGAAGCTGACATTGTTATTGTATGTCTTGTTCTGTAGCATCTCTCCCTATAAAAAATGAATTTATGATATGTAGAGTTCTTTCTTGACATCACATGTTGCACGACACTTGCTCCAGCTACTATCCTAAACCTAAACCTATCCTTGATTTGAACCTGAATGGGAATCAATCATAACCCCAACTCTACATTTTTGATGAAATGAAACCCTGAGCAATTTTTGCCGGATAAAACATGTATGTTAGAGCACCCTCGAAACTGTAAAAATTCCTCAAGTCGATACGTCCTTTGGACTGTGGATCACATGGTTCGCCGTTCGGGTTCCGCCACGGCACTTGTGTCCTTTGGTGAGACAGTAATCTACATTTGCCACTCTTCACCCAGATGTTGGATGGGTACTGTTAGGAAGGAATGCTGTTTGCACCGAAATAGATAGCCTAGCAGAGGCGGCATAATATTGGAGCGACTTGAGCATCTTGTGTGGTGGCTATGTCCAATAATATTATCATTATCATATTCTCTATATTATTTTTACTTAAGGCTAAATTGGAAGAGAGGGAGGCAAGGATGAGGGAGTTGGAGCAGGAGATAGAGAAATTACGCAACACCTGGGCGTCGCCAGAAGTCCACCAGAAACTGAATGAAATGTACACGGAAGTATCTGAAGCTAAGGAAGTGTATGAGGTGAGTAGCTGGGCTTCAGGTCGAAAAAAGCTTTAATTTGAAATGTAAATTGAGCCATAAAACTTGCTACTCCGATTCACTTGGTATTAGACAGAATGTATATCTATGCATAGTGTAGATATGAGGTATGTGCATGATTGTAGTGCTTTCGTTCAGAGTCAAAACAGGTCGAAACCTTGCCATACTGAATGTTTTGAGAAAACACAAAGCACTCTGAAAATAAAGAAAAATCAGTCTGGTTGCAAATAGGTCAAATGAACAATTAGCTTTCTTTTCAGCTTTTACATTGTTTGTTCAATCAGAATGTATTTATCATACATTTTCGGAAATCAGCTCCAAGAATTTGAGAGGCAAGAAGAATCCCTGTGCTTAGTTTTCCACAGTACCCCCTCCATTCGAAACAGATTCTGGTATAAACACATACATTAATCATTTGGGCCATGTTGGAAATGAACAAATTTTTACTTGATATTTCGAAAAACTCTTAGGTTGGGCATACTAAATAATTCAAAAAATAAGATGGTTATTTATATAGCGCAGGTATCCGTCGGGTTCTAACGCTCATGGCGTTTTACACATATTACCCTGGTCGTAGCCGAGCTGCCAAACTAAATAGAGCTCAAGCATAATTACGTTTATTCATTTAGTGATCGAAGCTGTTAAAAATCCAGATATTTAAACTCTCATCCACTGTATCTCCTTTACATTCAAATCTTTACAGACACAACTGAAGGAGACACAAGGAGAAAATTCATACAGTGCTCAACGCACGACAGAACTGGAGCTGGAGCTGAAAAAGTTGACCAGAGTGAGGGATCAAGCGCTGCAACAGAAGCAGGAGCTAGAGACCCAACTCCAGCATTCAATGGCACTGAGCGGAGATCTCCAGGAGCAGATAAGCCGTCTACGCGATGATTCGGAGAAGGAGAAGCAGGAACTTGAAAGCCAGCTGCAGCAATCCAAAACTCAGAGTGAAGATCTTCAGAGTCAGATTGGCAGTCTCACAAAAGATTTAGAGAAGGAGAAGGAAGGATGGTGTAGTTCTGAAGAAAACCTGAAACAAGAAAAGCTTGTGATCGAAACACACCTTCAGCACTCAAACGCTTTGAACGAAGACTTCCAGCAGCAGACCGTCCATCTCCAGCAAGAGGCAAAGAAGGAGAAGGAGGACTGGTGTGCCTTGAAAGAAAGCTTGAAACAAGAGAAACAAGCTGTTGAAGGGAGATTGCAGAATGCTTTGAGTGAGATTGGAGACCTGCAAACGTGCAATGCTCAACTGAAGCAAGCTCATGGTACAGACTGCAAAGCATGGCAAGACTCTGAGGGGAAACTGAAGCAGGACATCAATTCTGTCAAATCTAAATTGCAGGAGGCACTTAAGCAAACTGAAGAACTCAAGACAGCAAACAGTACCCTGTTGAGGGACCTTGATGAAAGGAGTGGAAAGGTGCTGAATATAGAAACCAGAATGAAGCAAGATGAGGAAGAGAAAGAAGCCCAATTCTGTCAGGCCCGTGAACTTTTGGGGAAGCTCCAATCTCAGAATGGCTCTCTGAACCTTGAGTTAGAGAACAAAGAACGATGCTTACAGGATACCCAGAATGAGTTGCAAGTGGTGATCAAAGAGAGTGATTCCCTCCTGCAGAAGGCCGATGCTCGCATCAAAGACCTGGAATGCAAGAGCATGAGGATGGAACAGGATCTGGAGAGTGGCAGCGAAGTCTTGCGAGTGGCTGAACAGAAGATCAAAGAGGGCAACACCGAGAATGAAGTCAAACTGAAAGCAGTGGGCATTGAGGTGATGGACCTGCAGAAGCAGAATCAGCGATTGAAGCAAGATCTGGATGGGAAGTTTCAGGATTGGCTTGTTACGGAGGAGAAGATGAGGCAGGAGAAGGAAGTGGTCGAGACCCAGCTTGGTCAGGCGACGGTCAAGATTGAGATGCTTGAGCAAAAGTACAGATCCTTCAAGGAAGACTTGGACAAGGAAGACACAGATCTGTGCCTCCGACTGAAGAACATGGACGAACAGAAGCGGGAGGTGGAGTCTCGTCTGGAGCGGACCGATGCCCAGCTGGAGGATCTCCAGCACAGCAACTGGCTCCTGAAGCAGAACCTGGAGAACAAGGAGGAGAAACTGAGGCTCATCGAGGAAAAGCTCAAACGGGAAGGGGAGGGTCAGCTCCTGCAGGCTACGAAGCAGATGGAGGAGTTGCAACAGCAGAATGGCCGCTTGAAGCAGGATGTCAAGAACATGCATGACATCTTGGTCACAACTGGAGAGAATAAGAAGTTATGGGAAGAGAAGATCAGGATGCTTGAAGAGAAAGTTTTACAAGGTAAGATGCCAATGTTCAGGGTTATATTCACCTGTATTAACCTGTCCTCTCGGGCTCCTTAGTAAGACAATGTCTTGTAATACCCTCCCATAGCTCATCAATACACCAGTGCAAAGATTATATGCTGTCCACATGAACCCCTCAAAAAGGTTCTGCAATTTAAGTTTTAGCATCGATAACTCTCCTGTCAGTATGTTATCATTGCAAAGCCTGTTTATTCCACATTACAATGATGCCCCATTAATAATGATTTGCTATATTCAAATAATTGAATGTGCAGTACACCTGAATATGGGGCCAAGTCAAATGTTGCAAAGTGCACTGTTATTGTCTATGGTGAGTTCTTCATTTGTTTAGAGGATGAATTTTGTTTTAAAGGAACAGCAATGCATTTGACAACATTTTGCATCACCATTAAGATGACGAAAGCCTTTGTGTTAGTGATTGCCATATGCCCTTTAGGTGATTAAGTGGTAGCAATACTCCCCAAGGAGTGGAGATGGGGCACACTGTGCGTGAACAACCAGGGTAATAATATCTGCAAAGGGCTTAGAGTCTGTATTTTGTATCAAGCGCTGTATGAATCCAGATTATTTAAAGGCACCGTTTAACAATGTTAAATCTGAGATGCATGGTCCTACGTGTTATCAGTGTCTGTGATATGATGCAATATTGAAGCCCTAACAAAAATTGTGCTTCCAAATTATCATGAAGTGCCTCAAAAAAATAACAATCTTTGAGTGACCGGATTTACCAGACTCATTTTCCCCAATAGGCTATAGTGTCATAAAAACCGTTAGGAAAACGAAAAATGAAATTTTGATTTCCAATCATAAATATCTTGATATTATCAGAGAGGGGATCTGCTTGTAAAAGTCATGGGATTCCTGACTGACCTAAAGGTTTATAATTGTGATTGCAGCATGAGCTAAATCCAGGATTTTGTTTCAGAATCTGAGGCAATGTTACAGAGTCACTGTAATGATATGATAGCTTGTACTCGTTCCTCTCTTTGCGGTTGTTGTTGAACTAGATGAAGCGGAGAGGACAACGAGACAACACCATGCTGTAGAGCTTGAGAAGGAAGTTGAAGAGCTCAGGGCCAAGTACAGCGAAGCATGTCAAGCACAGCATTCCCAAGGGGTGAGTCCCCCTCGAGTTTATCTACCCTGTGTCCTCACACACAAAATTCATTGTATAGCTATCCCGAAACGGTATAGCTATACCCTTTCGGGATAGCCATACAATGAAATTGTGTGTGTGTACATCATATAAAGAAACGTTATATTAAGCTAGGGTGTGGGCATCGTTTATAACTAGAACTCGATAACAAATCACGGTATGTTTTGTGTGTAGATGCATAGTCGAACTAGAATGGTATAACAGGGCGGGGCTTAATGGACCGCACACTCATGATTGGCCGGCTGTCATGTCAACCGCTCTCGTCAAAATCAGTTTCTTTATATGCTGTTTCTTACCTTGTGTGTGTGGACGCCCTGTTCGCTATACAATGATTCTTTATAAAGTCTTGGGATAATTTGGGGGGGGGGGGCACGCTGCTAGTCTATCAAATCCGGTTGCATGAAAGTTCCAGTGGTACATGATTTTCAATTAAAATATAAACCCCAAAAACTTTGATCCCTATAACCGATCAGGATTATTTAGTATTCAAATATGTTCAGGGGCAGGCCGTTCATGCCACTGTTTGCTCTCACCATTATGATCTTTAGATACTATTTTTTCCTTCAATAATGAATTATCAAAAAATGTAAATTCTGTAGATTTGTGACCATGATTAGTACGTCTTTTGAACTGCACATCATGATATCTGCTGCAGACAGCTAGATAGACTTGGACTCTATGTAGAGTGTTGGATTTAAATGGAACTTGCCTTTAAAAGTACTGTTGTTGTTTTTTAATTAAAAAAAATAATGTTTTAACTTTGCAAAAATGATTTCTTAAAATTTATGATAAAAGAAAACAATGTTGGGATGGATGCTTGAGGGAATATATTAGTTTTCAGTGTTTTATAATGAAGTGATGTCTTTTGCATTGTTTTGTTAAGTACTTTCTTTACTCTAAAATGATTTTAATACCCTTGCAAATTTGAATATCAATTAAGATTACTCATATTTACTCTGGTCAAATGAATACAAACAACAACAATTCTTTTTTAAAGCTATTCAAAAACCTAGGTGCAAATCAGTCCATGGGAGTGGGGGAAAAGCATACCTGCTACGTTTAAGGGTTAGTAAAAACCGCCCACACATAGTAATTCAGGGCCCCGTCTTATAAATAGTTACGATTGATCGAAACTAATCGTAAGTCCTCCAATCAAACGCAAGGTTGCAGTCTCCTATCTCTTATGTACGCAGTTGCGATTGATATCGACTCTTTATAAGACCGGGGCCCAAATCATGCTTTATTCATTCCTGTTTTCTCACAGATTGCCTTCACAGAGGAGATAGAGCGTCTCAGGTCGGCCACACCCAACCAAACCCCAACCGCATCCGCCCAGAACTCCATCACAGATATCACGCCCCCGGTCCACTGCCACCTGGACCTAACCCACGACGTGATGGCCAACCATAGCGTGGACAGTCTGGATGGTCTAGCGGTCAGTCGTGTCAGTCACGATGACAGTGACCTCAGGATGGATGACCTCGAGACTGACCATGGCCTGAGAGCGAGGTCGGTTGCAAGCCTCGCATCGTCGACGGGGTCGAATCGAAGCACAAGATCCACTAGAAGTAAGCACTCCGACAAATGCTTTGCTGGCAATTCCAGTGTTTCATACTATACTCCTGTAGAAGGAGAAGTGAAAATAATTTGTTATTGTTTGTCGTTGAGAAAATGCCCCCAAATCTACATGTATGTACTGTGAAGAATGTTACAAGTAATCATGTTGTAGTTCACATTAGCGGTGATGCTAGGAAAGTGTATTTCAGAACTATAGATTTGTGATCCATCCAATTTAGTTTCAAATTAAAAACTTAAGGATTGTGATTCGTAGCCTTTTTGTAATCTTTCAATTGTATATTGAATAAATAATTATTTTCCTCTTTTTTAAAAGAATAAAAGAATCTTTCCTCCTGTACATGTATACCAGTGTATCTTTTTGGTATTAGCATGTTTGCACTCCAGTCAATGTCCATGGTGGAAAACATTTTCATGTTATCACTTTTTGTTTGTCTTGGTGTTATTTTAAAGTTCTGGGGGTTGTTCACAAAGATCCTAAGTAGAACTTAACTCTAAGTTGGACTTAAAAATTATGGAGAGCCATTTGTAGCCTTAAACTGCAATATATTCAAAATCAGAAATTCAAGTATTTTAGACTTTTCATAAATTCCACATCAAGAAAATGAATCTCCCTGATAATAAAAAATATGAATGTATTGAATCAACATTTTATGCCTTTAAAAATAACTTTTACAAAATATTTTCAAAGATGCTAACGGCTTTCCATAATTGTTAAGTCCAACTTAGAGATAAATTCAACTTAGGATGTTTGTGAAATGGTATTTGTGCAATAATATCTTTACATTATATACAATATATATATATATATCCTTTTCCTTCAGGCCGTACCCGGATAGAGATCACTCTGTCGGGCAAGCGCAGTGAATCCAGATCTACATCCAGAGCAGAGTCTCAGTTCGGTTCTCAGTTCGGTTCTCAATTTGATGACTTCAGCAACTTTGGTGGCAGTCTGAACAGCCTGGGATCGGACTTCCCTGATAACGTGGCACGTACTCTGGATGAGCTGGAGGCGAGCAACATCCACCTGGCAAAGTCCAACAGAAGGGATACCCTGGATACTCATCGAACAACTGGTATTAATGATGATGATTATGATGATGATGATGATATTAATGATAAGGTCTAAAGAAAAAAAAGATGTTGTATTGCCCTTTTAGGTGCCAAAATATGTGTCTGTTGGTTGGAAATCCTTTTTGTTTTTCAAAAACAAAATTCTCCCTATTTTGGCTGTTATTTTTAAAATTTTGAATGCTCTAATATTTTTTCTCTCTAAAAAATGGTAAAAAACAAAACCTTTTTTTAAAAGCCGACCATAGATTTCAAGACTTTTGGGTCAGTTGCAAAGGGTAATACAACATCTTTTTTTTTTATGCCTAATGATAATAATAGTAATGATAGTAAACATGATGATAGTAATTATAATGATGAATTATAATAGTAATAATACTAGTAACAACAAAAACTATTGGATTTATATAGCACCTTTTCATCGAGAGGATACAAGGCGCTTTTATGTGATTACTCACGTCCTTCCTTCTCCCATCCCTGTCTCTCATCCTTTTGTTCTCTTCTCCCCTCACTTCTTCTCCCCTTCCCTCACTCTCTCTCTTCCTCACTATTTCTTTCTACTACAACTTCTCTCTCTCTCTCTCTCTTTTTTCTCTTCTCCCCTTCCCCACTCCATCTTTCCTTGTGCTCTCTTCCCACTCCTCCTTCACGCTTTCCTCTCCTTCTCCCCCTTCCCCCCCCCCTTTCTCTCCCATAAAATCACTGTTGATTGCTGACATGTGATGTTCCTAATTTTATTTACAAAGAAATGATGAAACTATTAGTAACCCAATAACCCATTGTGACTTAAAGTCACAATGGGTTATTAATTCCTTCTCACTTTTTCAACAATATTCCTTCAAAGAATTATTTTCACACTTTTGGGGGGTGTTTAAAAAAGACAGAGGTCGACTTTAAGTTCTTAACTATGGCAGGCCTTTCATGCCACTAGTTGCACTCACCATTGGTCTCTCAATTATGATCTTTAGATAATATTTATTCCTTCAATAGTGAACTATCAAAAAAGTAAATTCTTAAGATCTGTGACCAGAGTTTGTAAGTCCCTTGAGAGACCAATGCCAGGAAATTGTGAACGAAAACAGTGGCAATGACAGCCTGCCATAGTTAAGTCCAACTTAACGTCGATCATAGCCTTTGTGAAACATCCCCCTGATGTATTAACAGTGCAAAAGTCACAAGTTGCATGGTTTTACAGTCGTATCGCCAGCTTTGAAATCCGAGATCATAATTATATGAAACAATTTGTTTCGGCAGGACCCAGTGGATTCTTCCTAGTAGGATGTGGCGAGGAGGAGCCGGCTCACATCGATTGGGAAGATAGACTGGCAGAGCTCCAACGTAGGAATACCCTCTGCAGACCTCACCTTCAGACGTCTTACCCCGTAGAGACACAGACAAGGGCACCGAAGGTAAGACTGACTTGCACATTCGTCGTGAAAATGAGCCATTTTAGATATAGAGGTGATACGGTTCTTTTTAACTTGGGAATGAAATATTGCGTATTACATATAACTTTACATTTGTATAATACCATGAGATAAAACCTTCTCTGTAGACCCCACCTTCAGACATCTTACCCGGTAGAAACACAGACGAGGCCATTTTAGATAGATGAGATCCGGTTCTTTGAAACTTAGTAATGAACATTGTGAATTACATATCTTTGAGTTTTGTATAATACCACCAGGAGATTAAAACTTCTCTGTAGACCCCTCCTTCGGACATGTTATCCTGTAGAAACACAGACAAGGTGCAACTGTCTGAAGAAGATGAAGAAATTAGAGGCTGACATTTCAGTATGCTCTCACTTCATAACCTTTCACTCCATTTTGTTTCCTGCTTTAACCTTTCACCCCTTGGCCCTCACCTTTAATCACAATTGTACATTGTAGGAGATCACAGAGACGGATCTGAAGGTCGGCTCTGACACTCGTCGCTCCAGTCTCAGGCTGTCTCGGGGTAACGAGGAGAGCAGCAGGATGTCGACCCGTAAGAGGAAGAGCGATAAGTTCAAGTTTGAAGAACCAGCATCGAAGGTAAGTGTCTCACGTTAAACATTCTTCGATTGTGATTGTTTATCCAATCCATTCCAATCCAGGAATTTGTAAAGTGCCAATATCCATTTGCCTAATCGCAGGCGCTGATGAGACTGAAAAACTCCCAAAAATGTCTGTCCATGATTCTAACTGGGAAAGACAAAAAAGCAGTGACTAATTGTAAGCCGTCTGAAATAGGTATGTCTTCAGTTGAGTTCTGAAAGTGGAAAACTGGTGGCAAGAGCGAATGATTTGAGGAAGAACATTTCATAATCCTGTCTACATTTAAAGGGATCCTAATAGAAGTCAATAGAGGACCACCGTCATCAAAATCTCTGGCAAAGAAGTCATCTGCATAATGCCTATTTAAGTACAATATTAAGTTATCAGAATCTATCTGTAAGAGTTCAATGACTTTAGATATATATTTTACAGCTGTATGAAGGACAATGTGAACTGCAGGGACTTGATGGGATTTATGATTTACATCACCCAACAAATTTAGCGAGATAAGTAAGCATTTGTTTTTTAATGTTTTTGCAACTTTTGGTGAATATTATTGAGAGGATGTGTAAGTGGCTCTTTACAAGTTCTTCAATTACAAAAATATGATCTATTTGTTAATATTTGCGTTTTGCAGCAAATGCGTAGCTCATCTTCCTGCCAGGTGATGCCCCCGCCCCCTCCTCCCGGCAGCACCAAGACTGGCTCGATGACCAGGAAGGCCGTCTCACATTCCAGCATCCCAGCTGAGCAACAAACCCGTTTCACATCCACCACTAAACATGACAAGGGCCACATCCACAACCCTTCCTCCAAGTGCAATAGTAAGACCAGCCTACAGAGTAGCTCGGCAGCTCGGAGTAGCCCGCGACTTGCCGGGAGCAAGTCCAGTCTCGCTGCCAGCAAGAGCAGTCTAGCCTCCGGGAACTCCAGGAGTAGCCTCGCCAGCCAGTCCAGTCGGACTAGCCTAGCCACGCAGTCGAGCAGAGCCAGTCTGGCCAGCACGACCAGCCGAACGGCCGCTCAGCATCCAGAGACGCAGAGTTCCAGGCCTAGTAGCAGGACCAGCATGACTTCGTCATCCAGTAAGACCAGTCTTGCATCAGCCGCTATGGAGGCGTCGGGACGCAGTTCCTCAAGAGCTCGTAGGTCCAGCCTGTCTGGTAGCCTAACTACCTCTACATCCACTCTGAAGAATTCCAAGAAGGAACCTTTTCTGCCAGAAATTGAGGTATGATTCTTAGCACAAGCAATGATGGTAAATTGTCTGTTGAGAGTCAGAAGAGTGTTGTTAAAATCTGTGTAAAACTATAAGAGTTGATGAGCGTCTGCCTCTCAACAGATGATGTGTTTCTGAAGGAATAGATCCGTTTACAGCTGAATATAATCACTTATTACATCAAAAAAATTGTTCACATTTCTAGTGCAGTAGTGTGCTGGACCTGATGAACTTACAGCCATAAAACTGTTTGCTAAAGATCAAAGCTTTGGAAGAGACAAGTGATGCATAGGATGCAGGGCTGATGGGTAAACCCGTCTTTAGAAAGATCACCACTGATGACTCAATAGAAATATCTCATTTTTCTCTATCATGCAACTCTCTCCCCTTATTCACCAAAAATGTCCCTTCCAAAATGATATCTCTCCCGTTATAAAAAGAGAATCATAACAATAAGATCCTCTTCTACCATGTTAAATCTTAATCCTTGTATTGCTCTGCTGTAGAGGTGTCGTGGTCGAGTGGATATGTCACCGGACTGTGGATCACAACGTCCGCGATTCAAGTCCCGCCGCGGCACTAATGTCCTTTGGCAAGACATTGATCTACATTTGCCACTCTCCACCCAGGTGTTACATGGGCACCCGGTAGGATGCAAAAGTTATTGTGGTTCAATTAGCAGGTGGCGCTTGTAAAATGGCGACTGGCTGGAATGCTCCCCAGGGAGTAGAGATTGTGCACACTGTGTATGCGGGCAAGCACTGAATCCGGGGTAATAGTATATCTGTAAAGCGCTTAGAGACATTTGTATTAAGCGCTATATAAGCGGAATATTATTATTATTATTAACAGGAGGTGTTGAACCCCAGGCGTGAGAGCCTCACTTACAGCGTAGGATTCTCCCCGAGGAAGACGTCCAGACGGAGGAGGTCGATGCGCTTTTCTACTAAGAAGGGCAGTATGAAGGGTAGCCCTGGTCTCAGTCAGGTGAAGAAGAAGAAGGTAGCCACGCCCCAGAAGAAAACTCCATCCAAAATGGTGAGTTCTTTAACCTTTGGTTTGCTCCGAACGCTAATTGGCACAATCCTGCCAATCAGCACAAACAATAACTACCAATTGAAAGAAAGATTGCAATCTGCATCGCCATCGGGTCTTGATTGGCCAGGGGGGGGGGGGGGTGTTTCACAAAACTTGTCATCAGTGACAAATGACAGTTTGTGTTATAAGCTACTGAAATCCTTGCTTCTGACTGGTTATCAGCAGATTTGTCACTGATTTTTGTCATATGTCATCGAAAAAGGGCTTTGTGAAACACCCCCCTGATGCCAAACCTTGTAAAGCGTGCATGTAGTAAGTCATCTCACTTTGGAGATTTATGAATAAACTAGAATCTATAAAAGCAAAAATATCCATTGAGAAATACAATGTGGCACAAGAATATAATTTGCTTGGCACAGTATAGTTTATAACTCTTTTATTTAAAAAATTAATTTGTTAAAGCCTGTGCTGAGTTTTGGTAAGGGAATTGTATTTTGAAATGATTTAAATAATTTATCATGCAGTAGATGGATTTTTATATAGTCCAGCACGATGTATTAAAGGGAGTGGGTAGTCAGTTTCCATGTGCAGAAGGCTACAATTCGCTGACACCAGACTTGGTGGAAATACCATTGATGGGAGTACAAATCTGCACACAGCAAACCCGTTGGCCCGTCAAGAATTACCCCCTAGTCTCTCGGAGCATGCTCGGAGATTATTCGGGCGAAGGAAAAGCAAAGCATTACATAAGGTATAATGGTCATAAAACTCAAGGCTAACCCTGGTGATTGACAACACCTGCTATTTGGGTAAACACCCGAACGGTGTCGAATTCCCCATGAGAGCTGACTTCTATGTGACTTTAAAACAAACTGCTGGAAATCACACTGTATTTATTATAACATGCACTCTAGTGGTAGTCTAGGTTTTCAGTCCACATATAATAAAAGAATTGATACTGTAATTAAAACACTTGTCATTTCCTTTCAAATTTTAGAAATCCATGGCAAGGTTCTTTGGAAAGTGAGGAGCCAGACTCATCATCAACCAACCTATCGATTTAACAAGCAGCGAGAGGTCTCGTTTTAAATAGTTTTTTACAACTTTGGTATCAGTTGAACGTCTTTCTTCAAGATAATTTTGTTTATTGTTGTTGTAACCAACCAGTAAATAAATTAACACTTGCAAATTAGTGTTAATCTGTACTTGATGACCTATCTAAAAAGAAACGATCCAGCATTAAAAAAATTATTTTAAAAATACAGGGTTGATAGACAAAATATTACATGTTCCTCAAATCTGCTTCTTGTTTCTCAATTCAGTGGTACATTTGTTTCTAAATTATTAATATTACTGAAGTAATTGGACGAATACAACTACCATTATGTTATAATAGATCGAAGTATAATTACACTGCCTGTCTCTGAAATTGAATAGATTAGATAGAATTGTAAAACTCCCAACTTTTATGATACAGTACTTTAGTAGATTACCTGTCATTAAGCGAGTGTGACATCCCCATTTGTGTAAAATTTTGGACAGGATATAACAGTAGTTTGACAGATTTATTCTTGTAAATAGTGGTTTTCCTACAATCATGTATAAATAGTGCCATAAAAAAGATTGATTATGTAATATATCTGCCTTGTAATTATGTAAAGATGTGGAAGAATTCTACATGCATCTATATATAATTGTATAAATATCAACTCCCTCTATTTACTATAATATATAGACCTAAATATTTGTTTGTGTATGTAAATTCTGTTTATATTGGACTATCCACATGTTTCATCATGTTTTTACAAATATTGAGCTGTTTTTGGTATATTTCTGTGTATTTACATCGGTGTATTTGAATGTTTATATGAACGCACTGTTAACATGAAAAGCTAAGGGGGTCAGAGGTTTAGGTATACATATAGATTTATTCTGGTTTTCTGAATTTTCTTACTTTATGGGCTTTTGTAATATTATATTCTAAATCTAATTACACCACAGTGCCTTCATTTGATGAAAATGGAAGTTGTATAGTTTTGGGGTGGATGAGTTTACCACACAAATTGAAATACATGTACAATTTTGTATTAATAGCAATAAGAAAAAACTGATGGAAGACTCTTTTTTAAATTAGAAAGAGAAAACAAAAGTACTTCTAAAGCTTTGATCTTTAATCATCTTTAGCATGATATCAAGAGGATGTTGTGAAACATTACCTGGATAATCAAAAGACAACTGCACATTGCATTCTTATATAAATTCTCAGAACTGTGATTATTATGTTTTACTTTTAGTGAAACTCTTGTGGTGCTTGATCACCTTTCATGGCATTAACTAAACCATTATAGCACAAATTTTTGACAAGTTGTAAATTAGTTATGAAATAAACATCTTAAGGCTAGTATGATATCATTGATAAGAGCCAGAAAGGTGTAAACTCTGCATAAAATAATGAGTTAACACCTTCCTGACTTCAGATATATATCACCACCGGCTATTGTTTGTTTGATGTACAGATTATGTGTTTGAAATTGCACTGCATGTATATTGAATTATTATATGATCAGATTTTAAAAATGAAAAATAATAAGGTCTCGTTAAATTGTTTGCATAACGTGATTATTCATGAGATGTTGTAAATAAAACCTCTATACTGCCTAGCTTTACAGCATACGTTTGCTTGCCTCATTGTGTAATTATGTTGCTAGTCCAGGAGGGCGTTTCACAAAGATTAAGATCAATTTTAAGTTGGACTTGAGTATGGCAGGGGCCGTTCATGCCACCAGTTGCTCTCACCATTGGTCTCTCAATCATGATCTTTAGATAATATTTTTTCCTTCAATAATGAACTACAAAAAAAACGTAAATTCTGTAGATTTGTGACCACGATTCGTACATCCCTTTGAGAAACCAATGCCAGGAATTTTTTAGAGGAACTAGTGGCATGATTGGCGTGAAACACTCACCAGGGTAAGATTTTAAAGTAAACGGTTCAAGGTGTTAACCACTTTCATACTACATACAGTAGACTCGGCTTGAAAAAAAAAAAAAAATGGTCTGACTTGTGCAAAGAAGAAGAGCATTTGAAGAGTAAATAACATATTTTGTGTAAGTTTGGTCCAAAATTCATTCATGCAGAGTGAAAGATATTCATGCGTGGGTATTTAGTCGTTTGTGAAGTAGGCAACTTGGCGATCATTACATAACACTGAGCCAATGGGTATTACGCTCCTGTGCGTACCTACGCTTGAGCAAATTTAACTGTACATTCAAATCAATAAATGTTACTTCTCTTCCAGCATTGGGCAAGATATTTAATTAAACCCATTACACAAATTCACTTTCCATTTAGCATACAGAAATTAATGTTGGGTTTTACATGTCCTGAAAGCAAAATGAAAGCCACCAAGCTTTTCAAACTGGGTTGACAACAAACAATAACAAATGCAGATGTACAACAAAAACAAATTAAGGAGAGTCAAAAGCTTTTTTATTTCACAAACTTACTTTTGACAGGGTAACATATAAATCTACATGTACTTTCTAAACAATAGGGCGAGGACAAAAATCAGTATCACAACCAGGGGCCCGTTTCATAAAACTTGTTATCTATAACAAATGCTAAATTTCTATGACAAATTTGCTCTCAGCCAATCAGATGCATGATTTCTAGTACCAATGATTTCAGTAGCTTATAACAGTAGCTTGTAACAGGGCCCAGATCAGGAAGACAACGATGCTTTCATTGTGGTGACGGCTCGCTGCTCGTATACCGAGTGTGAGAGACGGGTGGCCTAGTCGGAGCTTATTATAAAGATCACACACCACTTTTTTAAAATGTCGACATGTACCACTTATTTTTATTTTGCTATGAATTTTGTGATCATTATTGTTGAAATTAGAAACTGAATCATGAACTGGTCAAGTCTATAATTTTTGCAACAGTAGAATTGTTGAATCATGCATTAGCAGCTTCAAAATGCTTTATAATATATACAGTGTGTCCTAGAAAAAACGAAGTAGAGAATGATCAGTTTTATCATAACTTAATTACAATTATAATTAATAAATGAAACATATTTGTAAAGCTTAGATCCTCCTCTTTCATTTGGTGCAACTCATATAATGCATATTTCCCTCATGAGTGTTTAAAACAATTTGAAGAGAGGAAACCAAAAAGTCATTTGGCAGACGGTATCTGAATTTCAAAGAAAATCACATTTTCCAGAAAGTTCATTTCTGCCCTTTCATATGAAACCTTAATCAGGAAAAATGAGACAGAAATAACAAAGTTCTTGTTAGTTTAAAGTAATCCTTGCATTTCCATAATTTTATTTAACAAATTCATTTTCACTGGCTGCCTGCCGTAGCAACAAACAGAGTTGACAAAAGACTTGACTCCATTTCGCTGACGATAAGCCATACATGCAGTTATCCAGGAACTTGCCAACACCTTACCCTTATGGGTCGGAAGATTCCCGATAATGCACTATTTAAGTTGACTGGAGGACTTGACACAACCTGATTAAACCTTGGCTCGGTTTCACTGGATTGATAGCCTGGTAAATTTATACAAAGGTTCTCGATTCTTAGACTAGTTTCCTCAAGATCAACAAAGGATCTACACCAAGGCTCCACACAAAACATGTCGGTAGTCTCTATTTGCAGCCCCGGTGCTGGAAAGCTGTTGTCTAATTTCATTACTAGTAGTGACGTCTTTATAAAAAAAGGTTCTCGCTTATTAGACTAGTTCCCTGAAGATCAAAAAAGGATGTAAACCAAGGCTGCACACAAAACACTCCAGTAGTCTCTATTTGCAGCCCCCTTGGTGCTGGGAAGCTGTTGATGCGACTGGCAGCACTGATGTTATCCAATTTCATCACTAGCAGTGGTGTCTTCGAAAAAACCTACTTCTCATTTTTCTTTCAGTTTTTTTTCCCCTGAAAAGGGTCGCTGTTAGATCATCTTACGATCGACTGTAATGTTTCGACCTGTGCAATACAAGAAAAAGCATATGAAAAGAATTTAAAAAGAGCATATGCATAAAACATGACTGTTGAATGAGCGAAAGCTATACAAATAACATAAAGTAGATACAAGATTCACAAGAGGATATAGATACATGCGGAAATGGATATAAAGAATAATAAATAGAGACAAATCCAGAAAAGGTTCAGACAAACATAAGGAATAATATATTGATAGAAAGATACACAAATGTAATTTTAGGGGGTGGAAATGGAGAGGGGGGGGGGGGGGGGGAGGGAAAGAGAGAGCGAGAGAGGAAGAGAGAGAAAAAAGGGAGAGAAATTGAAAAAAAAGAGATAGATAAGAAAGAAAGAGAGAAGAAAAAGAGTGATAGATAAAGAAAGAGAAAGAGAAAAAAAGGGAAAGAAATAGAATAAGAGTGATAGATAAAGAAAGAGAGAGAGAGAGAAAGGGAGAGAATAGAAAGGGAGAGAATAGAAGAATCACCAGGAAGAAAAGATAAAAGATTTATATCTCACCTCCTCCTGCTTCTTCTTCATGTCTGCTAACAGGTCATCCAGCTGAGTTTGAAATCGTTGCTGTGATTGAAGACAAGATGAAAATAATCTTGAAACATACAAACAGGTAATAATACAAAAACCACATCGCACTGACCACTGCTTTTCAATGTGAGGAGAAAAGTGTGAAACCAATAATGATTCAAATCAGAAAGGGAAAAGCTTTTGTGTAGTATCCTAATGCCCGAGAACCTGTAGATTGATGTTTACAAGATGGGAGCATGAGTACATGTCTTTTCCGTACACGAGAAGAATAATCGCAGATGGCGCTTGTTTCTCTTTCCCTTTTTGTTAAAACTGGGGAGTGTTTCACAAAGACTAAGATAGACTTTAAGTTGGACTTAACTATGGCAGGCCGTTCATGCCACTAGTTCCTCTAACCATTCCTGGCAGTGGTTTCTCAAGGGACATTCAAAGCATGGTCACAAATCTTCAGAATTTACCTTTTTTGATAGTTCATTGTTGAAGGAAAAATTATTATCTAAAGATCATAATTGAGAGACCAATGGTGAGAGCAACCAGTGGCATTAATGACCTCCCATAGTTAAGTTTAACTTAAAGTCGATCTTAGTCTTTGTGAAACACTCCCCTGAAGGAAACAAATCAACCTATCCCACAAGTGATGTGGCATTTGCTCTGGATGATATTTCATCAAATATATAGGGTTATGGCATAGGGTCCAATTATGCATGCATTTATAAAGGGTTAGGTTTGGGTACAGTGTGGGTCAAAGGTCAAAGTTACGATCCTGACTATCATCAACTCTGTAGTAATAGCCACTGGAGCATATCTCGCACGATCAACTCATAAAGTTTGGTCAGCATATTGGTGAGGATAAGGGTCAAAAGTTGACATAAAACTATATTTTACCTTGAGCATGGGGTTGTCCAAACCGGCCACCGATTCCTCCAAAGCTTTCTTTCTGCCCTCTTGTTCCACAAGATCTCCTTCCAATTCTACTAGTCTCTTAGCAAGTTCATCTAAGGTTAATGGAAATATAAGACAGTATGAAAAAATCAATCACATGTTTCCTATATATTTGTTTGCATTAGTTTAGCTAGAGGAAGTTACTGATGAGAAAGGAAGACACAGCATAAACGTTTTGTCTTTCTCTTTTTTTAATTATTTATTGAAATATATTTAATCAGGAAAACAAGAATCAGATATACATTGTAGATACAAAATCTGTTTTACAACCTAGTCCTGAACAGAATAAAAATGCAATACATGGAAATATAAATAACGATATCACCAAAGCTCACAAGCAAAGGTAAAAACAGTACAAAACTAATATATAAGAATAATAAGCATTAGAAGTAGTAAAAACAACAAAAAGAAACAATGTAATAATTAAAATTAACAGCGGGAAAACATCAAATCACTTAAAAGGCATTAAATTATTACCAAAAAGATTTGAAGAGGAGAAAAGATAAAAGGAAATTGGAAGAAAGTAGAGAAGAAAAGAGAGAAAGAAAGAGAGGGAGAGAGAGAGAGAGAGAGAGAGAGAGAGAAATAAGCCATGTCGAGAGCAAAAATTAACATCTTCTCGTCAACTTACTTTCCTGCTGTCCTCCGTCAGAATCCTCCTCCTCATCTAACCCATCCTCATCGTCATCATCCTCATCATCATCGCCGGCCATCCCCGCATCCGAGAACGCCGTCCTGGAATCCTCTCCCTCCATCAGCACACGAGGGCTCACTCCGGTCCCGTCCTCCAGGTCCTCGATGTTGACGTCCATGTCCTCCTCATCGTCGCCCATCTCGTCTCCCGAGCTGCTGACGTCGCCACCGAACATGTCATGGATGATGTCCCCTGGGTACACACGAAGCAATGAAGAATCGACTTGAATCTATCTATCAAATTACAGATTATTTGATTGCACGTGCTGTACGTTGTCATCTTGATCATCTAGATCACTATTATACAAATAATACACAGCAGTGAGGGCATAAGTATGAATTACCCACACAAGGTACCTTTGGAACAGTCTTACATGCCTGAGGCGATAGCCGAGGGTGTTTGGACTGTTTTGAAGGTACCGAGTGTGGGTGATGTTACTCATGCCCGAACAAAATGATGTGTATCATTTGTTTTTAAAGATTGTATTATTTGTTTTATGCATATTTATGTTAGGCAAAATAAATGCCTGGTCATGTGTATGCGCTCAACCAATCATTTGATTGAGATCATTTTATAACATCATTCTTATCTACTGCAATCTCAACCCAACTAACCGTGTGGAGGTGATCCCATGCTATCATCATTCTTATCGTCCTTAATGTCTTCCTCAGCCAGTACTTCCCATTTAATCTTGATGGCTGTACTGTCCATTCGCAGCAACCGCTTCACCTCTTCCTCAACATCAGGAGCCTCAATGTACTACAAGAAAGGGGGAAAAATGGTGAGATAGTTTTGGTTTTAGTTTAGTTTCTTTTATTTCACATGAAGAAAAAAAAATACATTAACAAAACATAGCACATTTACAAAATTGATATTCATGAACAATAAATACATCTACACAACATCAGTTTGTATTGCATGTACACTAAATAATTTTGAAATACATGTGAAAAAAGGAACTTGATAAAAAGCATATAGCTTGTAGAATTTAAGTTCCTGAAAATAATTTTGACACAGTGTCATTTATAATAAGGTTTAAAAAGCAAAGTATACAGACAAATACAAAGAAATGATATGGATGATGGATGTAAAAAAATAGAGAAATAGGAAGGTTCAAGAGAAGGTAAAGAATGGGAGTCAAAAGAAGAAAAAGAAGAGAGAAGGGGAAGTTTTGGAATAGAATGTTCAAGGTCGGGAGTCACAGTTAAGGGTCAGATGCAACAAAACTAACATTTGCTCAGGCGATGCTTGCTCCAGTCTTTTGTTCATTAAAGGCGTAAGTATAGTGATGGATCAAGGGTTGGGGGTAGGAATTGGATAAGTGTATGAACTGATTGGATTTTGTTGTTGTAAAGAACTTTTGACTTGCACCCAGTAACTAAAGAGTGCATGCTCGATCTTGTGATTGAAAACAAGTCAGAAAATTTGTAGGAACCAGCCATCTACTGCTTGCGGGGCAGCGACTCTACCATCAGGTCGTCACTGGTCCATGGCACAGTCACGATGAACTGGAAACAAATACCTCAGCTCTCCTGATTTATCCTGACTTATCTTTCTTCAATCCGCCATTAGGCAGTAGCTTTGACCTCAGATGCACGAGAATCATATTGGTAAACAACAAAAAAAGAGGAAAAAAAAGTGGTGACTGTCCAAGTTTAAGAGTACTTAAAGAAAGTCTCGATCTTACCTTCTTTTTGGCTGTTTTCCTAAACCTTCTTTTCCTCACATTTTTGAGGGGAGGAGTGACTGTAAAAGAGAAACAAAAAACAATGTCTTGTTAGAAAGGTGAAGATGACTTCTGGTGGTGGCAACTACATTCAAACAAACCTTTGAGCAGATTCTCAGTTTGATTGTTCCTTATCAATACGGCAGATTGCTTCCTGTCACAATAAAAAATAATCATCTAACTGTTAACTGAATTGTTCTTTTCCTGTAGGCTTTAAAGGCATCATTTAACAATGTTAAATCTGAGATGCATGGCCTATACGTATTATCAGTGTCTGTGATATGGTGTAATAATGAAGCCCTAAAAAAAATTTGCGCTTCAAAATGATCATAAAGTGCCTAAAAAAAGTAAAAACCTTTGTGTGACCGGTTTTACCATACTCCCTTCATTCATTTTCCCCAATAGACTGTTGTGTTATAAAAAGCGTTAGGTAAACAATTTTTTAAATTTTGATTTCCAATCATAAATATCTTCATAACCAGACAGGCGATCGGCTTGTAAAAGTCACAGTTCCTGACTGACCTGAAGGTTTATAATTATGATTGCAGCATGAGCTAAATCCAGGATTTTGTTTCAAAATCGGAGGCAAAATGACCCAATCCCTCTAATTCAAAAGCCATCCAGTTCCCAAGGGCAAAGGGTTGACTTAAACTGACAACATAATCTGGACCCTGTTCCTTTGAACTTGTTATCACTAACAAATGTTAAATTTCTATGACCAATTTGCTCTCAGCCAATAAAAAAACATGCTTTCAGTAGCTTATAACAGTTATGGTAACTTGTTATTGATAAAAAGTTTGATGAAACAGGACCCTGATCTAGATATGAAGGTCTACTAACTTCAATGTTAACTTGTTTGCCGTCACATGAAATTGAATCTATAACACTGAATTTGTTTTGTGAACGTTAATAATAATATAATAATAATAGGCATATCTATAGCGCCGTCTCTCTAGAAATTCTATTACCAGGCGCATATAATATGACCCCAGCTTTAGCCTAGCTGCCATTACAGCGCTCCAGCATTTCAAGGAATTAATTCCTGCCAGGTACCCATTTACCACACCTGGGTCAAGTGTGGCAAATGAAGATTAATGCATTGCCAAAGGACATTAGTGCTACATACCTCCATGCTTCCAGACAAATTTCTTGTCGACCTTCTCTGGTTTCTTGGTTGGTCCTGGTTTTACCTCGTCGTCTGGTAGAATGGGAGCATCTTCGACATTACACACCAACATCTACGCAGGGATGGGTGCGGGGTTACAGGTAATTTGGATTTTGTATTATGAAAGTGAAACTGCATTAATGAATTAATAAATTTTCCCATTTTTTTTTTGCTCTGAAAATTTGATGCTACAATATCTCCCCAATTTTTAAGGTAATCCTTATTGATAGCTCAGTTGGTAGAATAGTGGTCTCGTAATCCGGCGACCTGGCTTCGCAACCAAGGCGATGCGCTAGTACCCTTTTGTAAGGCATTAATCCTCATTAGTAGGTCTTTCGGAGAGGACCTACAGCTGTCAGTTCTTTGGTTGCTTACTAACAAGCATTTATGCTTTCTTAGAAGTCAGGTAAAATAACTATCACTACACATATCATCTCAAAATCAGACTGACGTTTCAACGAATGAACATAACAGATTAGTGTACCATCAACAAGATATATTTTATCATAAGAAACAAGCAATTAGAAATACCTGAGAAATATCAGCTGTTTTCCAGAATGTTTTCTTGTCAAGAGTCTTGTGAGATTCTATCATACATGGCAAATCCACAATCTAGGGTAGGAAAAAGAAAAGATATAAAAGAAAATTATTGTGAAAAGGTGGCATAATATGAAAAGTACATGGCATAAAAGACAAAAGAAACTATTAAAAAAAAAAAAATCAGATCCAACGTGAACATTGTTAGCTGCTAAAAAGAATGTCCTGCAACATTTTGTACATGGCTATAGACACATTACCCCCAATAGGCATGAACGATGGATTGTTATTGGTGAATTACAAAATGAACAGAATCTATCCCTCTCCCGTCATTGTAAATGTATGTTGTTCCGACCTGCTTCTCAAAAATATTCTCTGCATTGCTCAAGTGTGCATTCATTTTTTTGTGTTCAATGTTTTTGATCTATAATAAACTGAATACCCAGTAAAAAAATAATGCATCTGAATCAGCTTTAGCTGTAGAAGCATAAAACAGCAATTATATCACTTGAAGAATATCAAAAATCTATTCACAATAACAATAGAATAAAGAAGCCAGTTTTTTCTGTACATGCTAGTTTAAAGATTGTTAACTTTAAGATTGATGAATTTAGTTCTTCTTCAAACAAAAATCCCAACATCTGTTCTTTCTGCACACAAGTCGCGTTTCTTAAAGTGAATCTCATGTGTTTACAAGTATAAGGTTATTGGAGTGCTCACCTTCGCAGCAAAAGTGTCATCATCAATATGAACAAGACCATGTCTCATATCAGCTAAAATATGGGATAAAAACAAGCAAGTGTACCTGAATTAATTTAGAGCACAATGTCCACCCCTCAAAACTATCATATATATATATATATATATTTAATTTCTTCTGGAGAAATAAAGGCCATATTAGGTTATTAACCTCAATAGCAATATGGCTAAAACATGTACAGTTTGTAGATCTATTGATTTCTACATCCTACCTTTTCTCAAGCATAAAGTTTCATGAATAAATTTAATTCAAATATTTATGAGCAAAAGATAAGTGTTAACACGATTCTTTTCCAGTCTGTCTTAGAATAAACTTTTAATTCAATTAAAACAAAAACAAAATCAATTTACATAAATATACATGTCCATTTTGTGCAGAGAGACTTTAGTCTTATCACAACAAAATGTATGCAATGAAGACATTTTTTGCATAGTCCTGATTAAACTATAACAATACTTTTACTTTTGTCAACAAGGACTATTGACATAAATAAATTCTAAAAACATTTTTTTTTTCCCCTCATGAAAAAAGTACATGTGAATAGATTAATTTCTATCCTGAGGGGTGTTTCACAAAGATCCTAAGTCAAACTTAACTCTAAGTTAGACTTAAACATTATGGAGAGCCATTTGTAGCCTCAAAATAAAATAAATTAAAAAGCGAACATTTAAGTATTTTAGACTTTTTATAAATTCTACATCAAGAACATGTAATCTCCTTGATAATAGAAAATATGAATGGTTTGAATTAACATTTTATGCCTTTAAAAATAATTTTGACAAAATTATTTCATAGATGCTAACGGCTTTCCTTAATTGTTAAGTCCAACTTAGAGATAAGTTCAACTAAGGATCTTTGTGAAACACCCCCAGAGCAAAGACTGTGCACTCATCTCTTTATATATTCCCTGACACACAAACATACACAAGCGTCATCATTACAAAAAAACAACAACTGGGAAATAAAGTGTAGATTGAGAGATCGACTTACTGTGGGTTTCGATTTTGAGATAATCTTTCAATGTCTGACCGCCAGCTTGAACTAGTCGTCTCAGATCGTCGGCACAATGCTACAGAGAGAAAAAGAGTACAAAGATTGTTTGGAAAAACTGGAAAAAAAGACCCTTATAACGCATCATACGGTCAATCTGGTAAGAGGAACCAGCCGATGTATATTAGCCTAGGCCTAATTTTCAAGAATAAATGCATCGGTTTGCAAAGTTTGCAGAGTTTGCAGATGCAGAGCAGACCCTATGGTCGGTTTCTGTCTCTAAAGAGAGGAGCCGACCCTACCCAAATAAGCGGCTAATGAACGAAAGAGACAGAAATGTTTGGGTTACCTCTTCCTTATTCCTGAGAATTTCAAACAAAAATGTTTCCTCGAGAGAGAGAGGGCGAGAAAAATTATATGTTACAATACAAGCTTTACTTGGTAACACCTACCTTGCCCATTTGGATACAATATCTACAAAACACTCATTCTTACTCTCACACAGTTTTATGTATTCATTTGTTTGTTACCTTCTTTCTTCTTCTCCTCTGCCTCCCTTTCCTTCATCAGTTTCAACTCTCCTTATGACTAAAAATAAAATGCGAAGATCAACAACTTCACATCACATATCTACAATACATCTAGACTCTACATCTAATTAGTCTAGACCTATGCTTATTTTCATTTAATTTGTGAAGAATGGAATCTAGGATTGAAAGTAGCAATTCATATATAATAATACCAACACAAATCTAACAGTAACAACGAAATAAACAAAACCATGAAAACAAACAAAATCCTACACAAATAAAAGCATATGGGACCAGAGTAAAATATTTTTGAGCTGATATTAACTTAGTAATTAATGATACACTCACCGGAGGAACCCTAAGAATCAGATGACTCTCTACCTCAGGAAGAGGTTCTTGAGTTCGCTTTGGAGTGGCAGAAGTCATTTTTAGAAATTCTGTGCAGAGAAGATTTAAAGAATTAAAAAATATGCTTGAGCATGAAATTAAAAAAAGAGAAACATCTCAGTTTTCTTCAAATATACGGAAACGCCCTCTTGTGATAAAATGTGGTAGAGAGATCGATGACCGTGGCAAACCAAATCCTAACAGAAATAAAAGTAAGTGAAAACTCCTAATTTTTCATGTATTTGGAATATTAGAATATTTGCATTTCAAAATCATATAAAGCCTAATGCCGCTATATATCAATGAACCAGCAAAATATTTCGTTCTAACGAAAGACGTGAAAGAAAGCCCCGGTCGGTTGATGGATTTTTGTTGTGATGCGAGCGTAGCAGAGTACACAGATCCACGGTGCAGATGCAGGTATGTCGGGATGATGGAAAGTGCAAGTGACTGGGAATGGGATGCATGCAAATGTATTGACTTTTGACTTTTGACTTTTGTGTATGTTCTGACTCCCTGATTTCCTTTATCATAAAGCGCCTGAATTAGTTGTTGTACTGATAAGATTAGAGTAGTCCATTGATGAATATGTTTAGTTTGGCTCCCCAGCTTGGATGGATTTTTTTTTTGGGGGGGGGGGGGTGGACAGGGAGGAAGAAAAGCAGAGGAGGGAAGAAACGAAAGGAGAGAAAAATAAATAAATAAATAGAGAATAGGGGAAGAAAGAGTACAGCAGTGGTTTAGAACAATGCTTGGGGGCCTGAGGGTTCTAGCATGTACCTTTTCTTTGTGTGCCTCCTTTTTTGGGGGGGGGGGGGTGGGGCTCGTATACCCACACCCCCACCCTTAAGAACCACAACTGGACTGCAATAGAGTGAAAGACAGTTAGTATGAGCCCTTTTATTTTAATTATGTCATTCATTTATATATACTATATATATATTTTATTGTGTTTCAAGTTTGTAGCATAAAAAGCAATTAATACAACAATTATTATGGGTCCTCTAAAATAGTGAAAAAAATTAAAAACCATAAGTCATAACTAAGATCCCATCTCAAAGCTAAATGTATTTGGTGTGGAAGCTGCTGAGTAATAAAGATAATAATAATGATAATGATGATGATGAAGGGTCTGAAAATCAGACTTTTACTTTAGTGATTGGAATCGCTAAAGTCGATTCAACAACTAATGGTCGTTATTTTCCCACTTACAGACATTTTCGAGCCGAACGTCTTGAGGGAATTTCTGAATTAGTAGTATATTTCAAATGCTGTTGGAATTTAACCTTTTCATTTTTTTGGCCTGCAAATGGGACATAGTACCTTTAAGGGGACTGAGATATTTTGTCTAATTTATCGTGTCTAGATGTAGTTTTAAAGAATCCTTTGACAGGAAGCTTCGTCCAATCCATCAACAACTATTGTATGCAATCAGCTAAAACTTTTATGTTTGAAATGAATGAATTGTAACTGCATGGTGACTAGCACGTGAGTTAGGCATTCAAGGTGGGACCTTGCTTGTAAACATACGTGCAGTATTGGGGACCTAGCTTTTCCTGCCTTGCCAATTTGTGATTAATCAGGACCACTGAACAAATCAATAGGATTTTGTCTAGTTTAAGCCGCAAGGGGGTTTTAATAACTCAGATACTGTGACACAGACTTTAAGCTCCTGTGGCTCCGAACAGACAATTCCTTCTTTCAATAGTAAAATCAATATATGTGCAGCTTCATAGTGCATCCGCATTAAGTGAAAGAGCTCCCTCATTTGGCAGATCCCAGTGTAGTCCATGTTGAGATGGATTCCCAGATAACATCTGAATATTAATGTAGATGTATGAGAGGTTTCATGAGAGAATGATCTAGAGATCTAGAAAGTTATTACATGAAAAACTGTAATAATTCTCTTTGTAATTTTAGAGAGACAGAGAGAGAGAGAGAGAGAGAGAGAGAAAATGGGATCAAATGTATTTTTAAAATGGATAATTGTAAGGTAGGGGAATGATGTTTTGTCATGCGTATTGAAAGAAACTGTTCAATCAGGCATACACTGTATCCTTAGCCCATTGGCTACTTAGTTCTCTCCTTCCCATAGCCTTAAATACGGGGGCCACCCGGTTCCTGTATATAATAGGTTAATTTGATTTTGCCTATTTTGACTGGCATACTGTTATGAAATTTGAATTTGAAATGTGCTGTAATAAGCCTTTTATCTAATGTATTACCTAAAATATTTAAGTCTTTGATCACTTAAAATTTGTAGCAACTTTTCTATGTTTGTTGTTGCAATTATCAGGAATTGATTTTTATTTGTACATATAAAATATCATTCAGTCAGTGACATATAATGTCATAATGTGAGAAAGAGAAATATAAAAGGAAGGCAGTGAGATGAAGAGAATGAGAAATAACAACGGAGATGGAGAGAAACGGTGACAGACATGCCAGTGGCGAAGAGAAATGGAGAGAGAGAGAGAAAGAGAGAGAGGGACATAAGATAGATAGTGGGATAGATTAATAGATATTGAGAGAGAAAGAAAGAAAGAGATGGAGAGAGTGGATATAAGATATATAGATAGAAAGATATTGAGATATATATATAGAGAGAGAGAGAGAGAGAGAGAGAGAGAGGGAGAGAGAGGGGGGGGGTATAACTATAAGATAGATATATATATTGAGAGAGAAATGAAAAAAGAGAGAAAGAGAGAGAGGGGTGGATAGAAGATATATATAGCTAGTGATTTAGATAGATATTTACGTAGAAACAAAGAGAGAGTGAGTGTGTGTGTGTGTGTGTTAGAGAGAGAAAGAGAGAGGGGGGGCAGAGACAGAAAAAAGGAGAGAGAGAGAGAGAGAGAGAGAGATAGGGGGTACTGAGAAAGAAAACTATAGAGCTCTCAACAACAAATACAATGTGGAAAGAAAGGGAAATAGCATAATAATGTCTATAAGGGAGGAACACCGGCGAGATAAAAATGCAGAGATACAGGTTTTAGTAGACACTTTTATAAGGGAGAGTCTATTAAGAGAAACTAGAATGGGAGTACTCTTGCATTTTATGGGTTTGCTAATGAATAAATATCAGTCATGTCTGCCACATATACGAGCATTCATTCCTAGTGGTAATATCACAAAACTCAAGATTGCTAGTTTGTAAATGTCACGTCCATGGACATGCATGTCTACGTCAGTAAAAACCCAGTATGCTATGCGTGTCTGATTGTCTCATGAATAATTCATGGCCCTTCAGGGACCATAAATTGTCCTGCCATATTTCAAGTCTATTTCTGTTGTGCTCGATCTTGCTCCTGTGTTTTAATATGGTCTAGGCCTAATCTCATACAGTTATTCTTCTATCAAAATAGTTGTTCTTTAAGGATGTATTATGGTTAAATAGGATCATAAATCATGTGATCAGATAGAAATATTGTGTAATATAACCTAAGTTATCCTTTAACTTTCAGTCAAATCAATAGTTTTATTTTACAAAGCGTTAACATTTTCATTATCATCGACATAATCATATAAATCACCATCATCATCTTCACCACCACCATCATCATCATCATACCCCACCACCACCATTGCCACCCACATCATCTTCATTATCATTCTATTATCTCCATCACTTGTATTATACATGTATTATTACTTTTCACATCCCAACTTTAGTTCTACTGTTTTTTGAAATAGTGACTGTCAATGAATAATATTGCTTTTGAATAATCTTCATGCTATTCTAAGTTTGGGGTCTATCTCACTTCTTTCAAACCTCTCTTTCTTTTGTATTGTTTGTAGTTTTATATTTTAAGCACTGTGTCTAGACATTTCTATTTTTTCATATTCATCATTTGTTATACTTGGATAGATCTTTCTCTATCTTTTATCAAGTACCCTGTTATAGTTTCCTCTTTCCTGGTTCTATCCTGCTAGGATCTTATCTTGGAATTCTCTGCTTCCTGATCAATTCCCACCATGCTACAGATATAACCGAAATACAAGACTGATAAATCTGTCTGGTTAGCAAGCTCTAAGAGATTCCCTTTCCTTGAAAGATTCCCATTGATTAATAACCCCTCCCTACTTCTCTGGTATCCATCACTTGTTTACCTTTCCATCATCATGATAAATCATCCTGTTATGAATGTTATTTTTCCTTCATCCCATCTTCATCCTCCTCCTCCTTATAAATGCAAGTAATAACATTAGTCTGCACTCAGTTCGTTGCTGAGTGAGGGGAGACAAACTCTATCCTCCACCCGCTTGCTCGCTCGCTGGGAGCTATCCTGTGGCGTATCGAGACCTACAGGCTCTAGAGGAGCAAAATGCCTCAGTTTCTACTGCGATCGATTTACTTCAGTAAGAAACCACATGTGAAGGCCCTGTTTGCATGGGGTGGGGTGGGAGAAGGGCAAGGGGGGGGGGTCGTCCAATATAACACATTTTTCACTTCATTTCATTTCGTTTATTTCTATTTACAACAAAATAAATTAAAGTACATGGGATTGCATTGTACATAGTAAAACAATGAAACTTAACAATATATTTTTAAATGGTCCACAGTTTACAACAGGCATATAAAACGGGTTGGTCACGGAGGGGACTGCTGAAAGGCTGGGCTTGTAGATTGCAGCCCCCTACATTTTATGTACATGTATGTGTCTATATTTTTTGCTGTTTCTATATGTGCATTGACAAATTTGTCATTCCATAACCTGCTATCCATCCATGTAATTAAATGAAGATTGAAGGGGCTGCATTTGGGTCGGAAATCTGTCGGGAGGGGCAAATTTGCCCCCCTTGCCCCTCCTTCATAAATACATGCTAGTGGAGCTGTGAACCCCCTCATGGCAAACATCATATTCTACGTTCTGTTTACTTAGGGTGTCTCTATGATTGCCTGGCCCTATCTCCCTGTGAACATTGCCTGCATTATATGCTGTACGGCTGGCTGGCTGGCTGGCTACCAGACTGTCCAGTTTACCACAAACATTACTTATAACTTACCCAGATTTTTTTTTGGGGGGTGGGGGGGGGGGGGGGGGGGGGGGGGGGGGGGGGGGGGGGGTGATATTCTTCTTTTCTATTACACCATCCAGACTAGAGGGCTATACAAAAGTCGTTCAAAGAAACGTATAAT